CTCGCACAGGGCTAACTGGCGCGCTGTTCTATTGATGTGTCTGCCCCCCTACGTTAAGACGAACGTTACCAGAAAAAAACAAATGATAACAGTTTGATGACGGTTTACGTTCGGATTAAATATCTTCTCTGAATTATTTTAATTACATCTGCCATTAACGTAAACCATATGGGGCAATATGAACGTTGCATTTCTACTACCAACGTAAGTTTAGATCAGTACATCCAGAGGAAGTTGAGTAGTCAAGCGACATTCCACGATTGCATTGCGGGAATGTAAACATTGCGAACGTTACCGTGTCGCTGAAAACTTGTTAGTCGAAATGACACATTTTAACCGTCGTAAAACATAAACGTAATGTTTCCACCAGTGATGTCAGCTGCGTGAAGCAACAGCAAACCAAGAAACGGGATGCAATGGTGTAGTTTACTGTAGGAGGCCGTACGAGGCGATGACAACTGACATGCATCGTGACGTCGCTTACATTGTGACGTAATGTAAAATGGTTCGATTACGAGGGGGCACACTAGAATGGCGCAGTGACGGGATAACGTCATTCAATTGTTACGTCATCAAAAAACTATACCTTTATTGTCTGATAATGTATTTTTTTTTCGATTGTTCTAACCGCTAGGCATCTAAGAAATTTGGATACAAAACTTAATGATAATAACTTACGAGAAATACAGATGTTTTAGCAATCCGACATGAGAATGAGATTCTCAAGGCCGTCCTGAATACAAATATCTTTTAAGGCAACAACGTTTTAACTAAGGGTAGGTTATGACAGGTAGTTTTTATACATATACATGTATATCCATTTAGGTATATATGCCGTGCCCAATTCCTGGAATTGACCATTCTCTGGGTTAGAGCAAGAGTGTTGCCCAATGCCCGTGAATGGCTGGTAGCTGGCTGGTTGGCCAGGTAATCCCAGGGAGGGGGTAGTGTGAACGACTGCTCATCCCTTGGGACTGGATGATTGTTGTGCTGTTAATTTTGTTATATATTTGTCATTTATTTTACAATAACTGCAGACCATGGAGCAAAAAAAGCAATATTTGACAATTTGGTGAAAACAAACACCTTCTCAGTCATTTTCAAAGAAGACTACAACAAATAAGTAGAAGATTAACTTTTAACTACCTAAATGTTTGGATGTGTTCCATTGTATCAATATACTGCTTTGCCATCATGATGTCTCTCGTTTGGATTATCTTTTATTCCCCGTCCATTCTCTGAGATTGTGCAAACTGAATAATGAATTGCCCCGTTCCCGGAAATGGGGTAGAGCGGTTGCCCAAACCCAGGGAATGAGCAATTCCGGGAATTGGGCACGACAAATACATCATTTGGGCTGTTGGGACTTCCACGAACAAAGACGTGTTACCGTTTTCGGGACGGTGTCATCCTCCGGCATATCCTGCTGGATGTAGTAAGCGGTGCAGGTGGGTGCGTCCTCGTTGATGTCGGTGATGGAGACGGTGACGGTGGAAGACACGGGTGTTGTTCCGTCGATTGCCGTCACCTCGAGGCCGTAGAGGGGGTTAGTTTCGAAATCTAGGGCTGATTTTAAAACAAATGATAACAGTTTGATGACGGTTTACGTTCGGATTAAATATCTTCTCTGAATTATTTTAATTACATCTGCCATTAACGTAAACCATATGGGGCAATATGAACGTTGCATTTCTACTACCAACGTAAGTTTAGATCAGTACATCCAGAGGAAGTTGAGTAGTCAAGCGACATTCCACGATTGCATTGCGGGAATGTAAACATTGCGAACGTTACCGTGTCGCTGAAAACTTGTTAGTCGAAATGACACATTTTAACCGTCGTAAAACATAAACGTAATGTTTCCACCAGTGATGTCAGCTGCGTGAAGCAACAGCAAACCAAGAAACGGGATGCAATGGTGTAGTTTACTGTAGGAGGCCGTACGAGGCGATGACAACTGACATGCATCGTGACGTCGCTTACATTGTGACGTAAATGTAAAATGGTTCGATTACGAGGGGGCACACTAGAATGGCGCAGTGACGGGATAACGTCATTCAATTGTTACGTCATCAAAAAACTATACCTTTATTGTCTGATAATGTATTTTTTTTTCGATTGTTCTAACCGCTAGGCATCTAAGAAATTTGGATACAAAACTTAATGATAATAACTTACGAGAAATACAGATGTTTTAGCAATCCGACATGAGAATGAGATTCTCAAGGCCGTCCTGAATACAAATATCTTTAAGGCAACAACGTTTTAACTAAGGGTAGGTTATGACAGGTAGTTTTTATACATATACATGTATATCCATTTAGGTATATATGCCGTGCCCAATTCCTGGAATTGACCATTCTCTGGGTTAGAGCAAGAGTGTTGCCCAATGCCCGTGAATGGCTGGTAGCTGGCTGGTTGGCCAGGTAATCCCAGGAGGGGGGGTAGTGTGAACGACTGCTCATCCCTTGGGACTGGATGATTGTTGTGCTGTTAATTTTGTTATATATTTGTCATTTATTTTACAATAACTGCAGACCATGGAGCAAAAAAGTAATATTTGACAATTTGGTGAAAACAAACACCTTCTCAGTCATTTTCAAAGAAGACTACAACAAATAAGTAGAAGATTAACTTTTAACTACCTAAATGTTTGGATGTGTTCCATTGTATCAATATACTGCTTTGCCATCATGATGTCTCTCGTTTGGATTATCTTTTTATTCCCCGTCCATTCTCTGAGATTGTGCAAACTGAATAATGAATTGCCCCGTTCCCGGAAATGGGGTAGAGCGGTTGCCCAAACCCAGGAATATGAGCAATTCCGGGAATTGGGCACGACAAATACATCATTTGGGCTGTTGGGACTTCCACGAACAAAGACGTGTTACCGTTTTCGGGACGGTGTCATCCTCCGGCATATCCTGCTGGATGTAGTAAGCGGTGCAGGTGGGTGCGTCCTCGTTGATGTCGGTGATGGAGACGGTGACGGTGGAAGACACGGGTGTTGTTCCGTCGATTGCCGTCACCTCGAGGCCGTAGAGGGGGTTAGTTTCGAAATCTAGGGCTGATTTTGTTCGAATCTCGCCTGTAGCAGAGTCGATGGCGAAGGCTGATCCAGTGTTGCCATCTGAGAGGTACATTTTGAAATATGACACAGAGACTAAGAATTCACGATGTCTCCATACACGCTTCTAACAATGAAAGTAATCAAGCGATAATTTATTGCATATGATTCCGAGCCATTTGATTGGCTATCTTAGAAAACTGTTTAACAACCGAGTTGATTTAAGCTGCACTCACGAACTCCTGAGCATTGTATAACAATAGTAATGGTATTAGTGAAATATGTCCATAAGTACTGGTTCCTTCAACGACAATTCTAATTCAGCTTAGTATGTAACACGAGTTCTGATTGGTCAATGCTATAAATTTCCGACCGTATAATCATTACGGTCGCAATCTTTAAAACCAATTCACCAAAACCTTTGAATATATTCCTACACTATTGAGGTAACGCTGTGTTTCAGGGCATTGTCATTTGCAGAAGCCCTAGGTCAATTGACTCCCCTATCCAGCTAAAATGGGTGAAATCTGTGTTAAAAAAAGACAAAACAGTATCATAAATTAATTTTAAGTTCAAACAACTTACTCGCAAAGGGCTTTTGACCAAACACTGTTTAGATCATGAAACAAGTTTTATGACGTCATTATGGAGCGTGACGTCACCTGCTGTGACGTCATTTGACAACAGAACTGATAATGGTCCGTAGTTGAGGAATCAGCGGGCCGCTCATTCCTGAGGTGAGGTGAAGTGAGGTGAGGTGAAATTGGGTTTTACGTCGTGCTTGAGAATATTTCGCTCATATGACGACGTGCATGCGTGTGTATGTGTATGTGCGGCTGCTTGTACTAGCCCAGACTTAAGCTGGCGTTATAGTGCTAGCCCACTGAGATACCATGCCGCAGTGAAGCATGAATACCCCACTCAGAGACATTATACTGACTCCGAGCCGACCAGTCCCTGCTGTACCCATTATGCCGAGCGCCAGGCAGGGACCAACAAGTACCATATTTTAACGTCTTTTGGTTTGACGCGATCGGGGATTGAACCCGCAACCTTCCGCTCTCCGAGCGACGCTCTAATCACTCCACCACGGAGGCGGTCCGCTCATTCCTGATAACTAGAGGGTAGTTTCATCATAATTCCGTCCATTTTATCTATAACACTATGATTTATTTATCATTGTCAGATTTAGTAATTGTGCACATAATAAACGTGTTGAAGTTTGAAAATTGAACTACTTTTTCTGGCGATGGTGTAAGTTCAAAGAGTGATATGATTAACCTTTGACCTAGAGGAACTTGGACCTGGTTTAAATAATTAATTTCTTTCACGAAAAAACAGCTTAAAACGAGTGGAATAAGAATGGGGATAACTGTACTGTGTTTGACGAATTGGGGACGTATACCCGTGGTTACGCGTCGCCGATATAACTAACCTTCTAAATTTGCGGCTACATAAACCACCGCTATACGTCAAACACAATTCGTCAATTCGTCAAACGAAGCACAGTTATCCCCTAAATGTGCTCATGATGTTGATCACTGGATTGTCTGGTCCAGACTCTGTTTCTTTACATACCGACGCCATATAGCTGGAATACTGCTGAGCGCGGCGTTAAACAACAAACAAATTCAACGACAAGTGTAAACAATCAAATCTTGCTTATGGTATAAAACAATGAAACGTTTACTTGTTATTGAATAAGAGACTTCGCCGTCGTTGCCGTAATCGTTGTCAGTAGCTGTGATGGTTGCAACAGACGTCCCAACCTTGGTATTCTCCGCCACCTGGAATGTGGTTCAATTTGTAAATATTGTTCGAAATATTGCATCGAAAACAGAAGAGTTGACAAAAGGAAAGGTAGCAATGATAGACACACAGACAAGGCCCAGAGTTTCCTTATGTTGTTGACCATAGTTCTTTCATACGCACTTCAATGGTTCATCATCTGAAATTGTGCAAGGCAAAGCACTGGTAGAAAAGTAAAGCTTTAATTTCATTTGTATTTGAGTGTATTGGGCCAGTGCACTATGTTACAACGCACAGAAAATAAATAGCAATGTTGTAAAAAGGTGACATTCTTGTTGAAGTGTCTATTACAACTGGCCTATTTAGAGTTAGTTACAAGTTGAAACTTTCGTTTCTCCTTTTCGTTATAGCTTGCGAGTCTACAACAATCCAGCATGAGAAATGGCCAATAGAAGTTATTGAAGACACAGACAATCAAGCTCACTTGTAATTCAATGTTCAACCTACTCAAATACAAGCTTGGCATAAATACTGCAGGTTAGAATTGATTTTCAGCAACCCATGTTTGTCGTAAGAGGCGACTTATGGGATCGGGTGGCCTGGCCCGCTGACTTGGTTGAAACATGTCATCGCGTCCCAATTGCATAGATCGATGTCATGACGTTCATAATGCTCTCTGGATTGTCTGGTCCTGACTCAGTTTACAGACCGCCGCCACATATCTGGAATATTGCTGATAGCGGCGTTAAACGACAAAGTAAACTAAACACTTCGGAGATTCCTCCCACTATGAGCTGTCACGCCGAGTACTGTTAAGTTAGCGCCAGACCAAACATCACTGACTTACTAAACTGTGAAACTTTTAGAGAAGTACAATAATATGTGTTAGTGCGGCATATTCGTACCAGCTGATATGAAAGTCGATTGGTCCAGACTCAATTATTTACAGACCGCCGTCATATAGTTGGAATATTGCTGAGAGCGGCGTTAAACAACAAATCAAAAATATCCAAACAAACTACTACCAATTCTGTGTACTGGAATGCATTTGCAATGTAACAGGTATGACTTACATAGACAGTGGAAGACGGAGATGGTGTGTGCAAAACAGGTGGGTGCTGGTTGACGGCAGTGACGGTGACAGTGACATACGTCGTCCCTGTCAACTCCGGCGCCCCTCCATCTGTCACGATGACCGTAAGGGTGTAGTAGCCAGCGTCATTTGTCGGTTGGTCGAGATCTATCGGACTGGATAGCTGAAGCTGTCCATTCGTTGTGCTGCTGAACTCAAACTTAGGCGGTACAACGTCACCACTCGCGACTGAAAATGTCAACGTTGACGTTGCGTCAGCGTCAGAAGCCGTTCAGCGTTAAGATAGACGTTCCCGCAGGTGAATCCTCAGGTATTGATCCGGTAAGAGAGCTGGCAGTGAAGACAGGGGCGTTGTCGTTGAAGTCGACGATGTTGATGGTAAGGGTGTCTTGAACAGATCTTGGTGTTGTCCCACCGTCCGTCGCCATGACAACCACTGTGTAGGATGTGACACTTTCTCTATCCAGTGTCGTAGCCGTCGTGAGTTTCCCTGTGGATGTATCCAGTGCCAGGTCGCCGGCTATAGTGGTCCCAGCGTCTAAACAGTATACACGTGCGTAATGTATTTACTTGTAAATGAACATCGTTAGCAGGAATCCTAAACACTTTCATTCTTACCAACAATCAAAGCATGGGAGAACATGCCGTACACAGACCATTAATATTCACATCAACACAGCAACACCACAGGGTTTCCGGGATACCAAGAGTTAAGGGAAACTGGTGTCCTGCTGCCAATTGCAATCACTAATGAACCGACTTCGTACATAAATATACATTCTGCTATGTTAATCCGGTAACGCTTCAATGTATTGTTGTCCTCGGTGCACAAACAAAAATTGTCAGAGAGCAAACAATAATGTTACAATGGACATGGCCAGCAAGAGTGAGTGAGTTTAGTTTTACGCCGCTTTAGTGATAATCCAGCAATAGCACGGAGGGGGACGCAAGAGATGGGTTCACTCATTGTCCCCATTGAGGAATCGAACCCGGGTCTTGGGCGTGACGAGCGATCGCTTTAACCACTAGGCTACCCCACCGTCCCTGGTCATCCCCATGACAGGCGATGTCAGCGTCTCAGCCGCAGTGTTGTAAAGAATGTATAAAACTCGTGTTTAAGATTCTAAGGTCTTCTACAAATTTAAATATGTTACCAGTTGTCACGGAAACAAGTTGATATGTCAACGCTCCATCTGTTCCCAGGTCAGCGTCTGTTGCTACTATAGTAACAATGGATGTCCCAAGGGGAGATAACTCTGATATGGAGAAGCTATTTCCTGCTGGAATATTGGTTCCCCAAACGGGATCAAAGTCGTTCACGGGGCTAACCTGGAATAGGAAACATCTTGTATCACAAACAGTTTGTTATTTACTTTTATGTAATTGTATTCAATCATATTAATACGTCAAATCATTCAGTTGTACAAATTACAGGCAACGAAGGACTCATTTCATCTGATGTTTTCAATTTCAACATTGTTTTCAAAAATGAATATTCTAAGACCCGTGAAGATCTTCAGCAACCCATGCTTGTCGTAAGAGGCGACTAACGGGATCGGGTGGTCAGGCTCGCTGACTTGGTTGACACATGTCATCGGTTCCCAATTGAGTAGCTCGATGCCCACGCTGTTGATCACTGGATTGTCTGGTCCATGCCCGATTGTATTCAGACCGCAACCATATTGCTGGAATATTGCTGAGTGCGGTGTAACCATCAAGCAAATAATCAAATATTCTGCTGGTGGCAATCAACATCTCACCACCAACTATTTAATACTTACTGAAGTTATGAAAGTAGACGTTCCCCCCCCAGGAAAATAAATAAATAAATAAATAAATAAATAAATAAATAAATAAATAAATACAGTACAAGACAACAAAAGAAAAGGTACTTCTCCAAATTGTCAATTCCTTTAAGGCAAAAATATAAGTTTGAACTAAAAGAAAGTAAAATGGGAAAAGAGAAACAAATTCATCAAACAGTATAAACTTTTTAAAAATAATGAAAAGCACTTCTACAGGCAACTTAAAACAAGTGGTGATGGTGAGCATGATAAAAGGCCTTCCATGGATGCCAATGAAAAGGTTTTGGAAACAGTTGTGGTCTGTACCCGGCAACTGTAACCTTGAGGCACCATGGGTCCGTGATTATGACCATGCAATGCACGAGAAAGTAACTAGGTCGTTTGTCTGTTACTTCTCACCAGATTGCCTGGAAAGTGTTATCAAACAGTCCAAATCTAATACAGCTCCAGGGCCTGATGTCATTTGAAACCGGTACTGGAAACTGTTCCCCTGTGTCCAAACACCATTACTTCACTGTTTCAATACTCTCGTGGACACAGGTGATGTTCCTCCATGGTTCTGCAAAGGTCGCACAATACTCCTTCCCAAAAAAGGAGACTTGACTGATCCCAAAAACTTCCGCCCTATCACATGTTTGAATACACAATACAAATTATTCACAGGGTGTTTGACAAACCTCGTGTCATCTTACTGTTCTTCCAATGATATAATTTACAGAGAGCAGAAGGGGCAAGAAAGGGATGCTGGGGGTGCAAGGATCAACTTCTTGTACAGAAAATGATTTTGGAAGAGGCTAAAACATATCACCGCAACCTCTCCATTTGCTGGATTGACTACAAACAAGCATACGACTCTGTCCCTCACGAATGGATTCTGAAGTCTGTTCATTGTATTGACCTCCCTGAGCGACTACTTGATTTACTCAAGTCTTTAATGAGTTGCTGGTCGACTCAACTTGAGATGTACTCGCAAGGGCAGGTGCAGACTATTCCAATCAGAAGGGGAATATTTCAGGGGGATTCCTTTAGTCCTTTGCTTTTGTGTCTGTCTTTAAATCCTTTGAGCTTTCTGCTCAATAAAGAGGAGGGTTACCATCCCGGACCTCCTCAGCACAGATCCCCAACATCTCTTACTCATCTCCTTTACATGGATGACATCGAGCTCCTTGCCAAAGGACATACCAATTTGAAAGAGCAGGTTCTCCTTGTCGAGTCTAATGATATTGGCATGACATTTGGACTCTTCATTTGAAACGTGGCAAGGTAACTAATGATGGATCGGTCAAGTTACAAGGGGTTTTTGAGCATCTTGTGGAAGATCAGGCCTACACCTATCTTGGAATGCAAGTTCGAGACAAGCTCCAGGATGCCCAGATTCAAGACAAACTTCGGGCTGAGTATAAATCTCGCTTAAAGAAACAAAGTCAAAGCCACAAATACTTTTGCTGTGCTAGTCCTCTCCTATTCCTTTGGAGTAGTAGATTGGATAAAACAAGATATCCAGACTCTTGACCGCCTGACCAGAAGGACCATGTCTTATAACAGAGCACACCACCCTCGTTCCTCTCTTAATCGCTTATATATGCCAATCAATTCTGGAGGTCGGGGTTTGATTAATGTGGAGGCTCTTCACGATATAATTTTATTGTGTACTTTTGCACATATCTATTTATCGGATGATCTTCTGGTGATGCATGTGAAGACGCATGATGAAAGCAAGGAATTCCACAGCTATATTAAGCGTACCAAGGTTGTTGGACACAATCTATTAATTTGAGGTTGATTTTGTTGATGGCAATGTACTGCTGGACGGTACAGCGATGGGAGTAAACCAGGTGAAGTTATTCACCAAGTCTGCTCAGAGTCGGTCTTTTGTGGAGAAGCTTTCTGAGAAGCCATTGCATCGTGTGTTCATGCAGTGTGTGGAACAGAACAGCAATCTTACCGACTCCTTCGCCTGGATGAAGTCGGCTGGTCTCAAATGTGAAACTGAGGGCTTCCTTTTAGCTGCTCAGGACCAGTCACTTCCCACTCGCAATCGCCTAAATGTGATTCTTAAACAAAATATTTCCATGAAATGTCGACTATACAATGAATTTACAGAGACTGTCCAGCACCTTGTCAGTGGATGCCCTTCCTTGGCACAAACAGCATATCTTAAAAGACATGATGGCAGGGATCGTTGCTTTTACTTCGTCATGCCTGTGGCTTTGACTCCGAGGTCCACCCATGGTACGACCATGAACATGTCCAGGGCGTCATGGAAAATGATGCTTTCAAACTTCTGTGGAATAGGCCCATATACAGCCTCAGAAGAATTCCAGCCAACAAACCTGATCTTGTCCTTTTTGATAAAGCCAATGACTTTATTTATATCATTGAAGTTTCTGTCCCTTTTGACAGCAATGTGGCAATGTGGCAAGATTCAGGAAAAGCATGATAAATATGCGGACCTCGCCTTTGAAATGTCTCGCTTGCATCCCAAGTACACTGTCGTCAGGCTCCCCATTGTTCTCGGTGCCCTTGGTTTGGTACCTTCTGATCTCTTGGCGCAGGTCAGGAGGTTCTCCACCGGGATCACAGCCTTTCTGACACTCTGGGTAATGCAGAAGGCTGCAGTGTTGGGGAGCCTTCATATTCTCCGGAAAGTTCTTGGTGGGTTCGACTAGGCAGTGTTTCCTGGGAGAAGTCCCATTCGCTGTCTGGGCTGCGTGTAAAGTGGCGAGGGCCCTGAGCTGATGATGAGCCTTACCAGCCTGACTGTGCCAGGATCACCCGAACCCTCTCTGCTGCATTTTCATCTTTAACCTGTAAAATAATAAAATATAAATAAATAAATAATTAATAAATAAATAAATTATAAATTCAAACAAACCAAAGGAACAAAAAAAACCTCCACGACGCACACTAGGCATTTACAAATGAATGAAAGAGTAACATAGTTTTTATAACACCCAAAACACATAGCTAGAAACCTTGATGTAGAATGAGACCGTCCCTGTCCGAGGTGTCCCCGGCGCTGGATTGTCCACGGCATAAACTACTAGCGTGTAGTCAGATTTACTCTCAAAGTCTAAGGGGGTGGTCGACGTGGAAACGACGATGCCCGCGATGACGAACTTTGCAGTAGCGTCGTCGCCGGTAAAGATGGAGTAGGTGAGATCACTGTTCGGAGGAGAATCAGCGTCTGTACAGGATACTGCTCCTACAGTAGTACCTGTATATAGAATAATTTTGTGTTTGGTACCGGTTAATACCCTTAAACGAGAGAAATGTGTTTTTGTAAATACATACGGAAACTGTTTCGGAAGCAATTCCTAAGTATAACAGGCCACTAAGTCAGATAAACAGTATTATCGTAACGTTTGAAATGCGGTTCTAACTAGCTACTGTTCCGTTGTCGGTGAAAGTTATCGTACGTTAATTGTCGCATTGGCCTTTAAGCTTATAATCCATTCTAACCCTAGTTTTCATGGAACCAATTTATTTTACACAAGCTACAGCTGATGCAGGAATGAGTGACATAGATTTGTTTTGTAACGATTAGATGAAAATTATTAAGGAACAGTATTTGCGGCTCAGTTTGTAGCATCACCTCCTCCTGACCCTTCTGGTATAGTGACAAAGACGGAGTCCGGTGAGCAGATCGGACTGTTGTCGTTGATGTCGGTGACGGGGAAGGTGACGGCCTGTGATGCAGTGTTGCCCCCACTGTCTGTCACCTGCACGGTGACGTCTAACGAGGTGAGCCCCACGTCATAGTCGATACGGTCCCTGATAGTAATTGTACCGGTGATAGAGTCTATCTGCAAATACTTGGTGTCTGTGCCTGTTGAGGATTATTATATAGAGGTTTTTATATGTATATAGACAGAGATTTCTATATTCATACGAATATAACACATATATTGAACTCCTCTAAAATAAAAGTTGCACAGTTTAGTTAGTGAGTGATGTTTGGTTTGGCGCTAATTTAATAGTACTCGGTGTGTCAGCTAAATGTCGGAGGATTCTACGTAGTGTTTAGTTTAGCTTGTTGTTGTTGACATACATGAGGATAATATTGTCTTTATGTGTTGTTTAACGCTGCAACATTCCAAATATATGGGGCGGTCTGTAATAAAATCGAACCTAAAGTACTGTCGGAAATAGAAAAAAACTGTTTTTAGGCTGTTACTCTGTATCCCTAAAATTTACACAATTGCAAATAGCATATGTCGAAATAACCCACGTCGGCCTAGCTGGGCGTTCAGTGGGATGCGTAATACGATATCCAGAAAAGCATGTTTACTCGTAATATCGGGCAAAACTTAAACTTAAACAATAGATCAGACTATAGACGGCAATTAGGTCGCTCAGCCAGGTATGACGACGGACCGTCGACTCACCTGGCATGAAATGCACGTGCTGCCTTACGGGAACAAGGGGTCATCTCAAAGATATTTTGTGCTTTTTCGTGTGTGTTGACTATGTCTCATCTATTGATTAACATATTACATGTCTTTCTTTCATTTAGTTTCATATAGTTTATGTTGAGATATGTAAAAGAGTATGATACCCGAAAACCATAGAAACGCATCGTAGTATATAGGTGGCATGACCACCCGAAGATCGACAGGACTGAATATTATTTGTAAATTGTTATGACGTGCCGTGTACCTCCCCAGTATAATTGCCCTAAAGAATTATCTTATCTTAGCTGATATCTCTCTCCCCAAGCCTGACCCCAGGTTTTGCTTTGAGACGGCCCCTCCTTTCTGTTTCTTTTTATAGTGACAGTGAGACTGCATGGTAGCTACATCCTTAATAGTTTCGGCATAAAAGTTATGATTTTTTACGTCAGCTATCGTTTATAATGAATCTACGTCTTATTTCAAATTGGGCATTTAGAAAGTGTCCTTTGTAATACAATATCGTCGCACACTAATTTGCATAAAGCCATGGTCTGTTCCAAATAAGTCTTTTTGGACTAAGAAAAAACCCGCATTGCTCATTTCTGCACTAATTTCCCCTCAGTAAAGTTCCTTTCTCCGTTTCCTATCTCTCTACCACCAAGACTGTAGTTAGGCCGAACTTAGTTTAACAGATATTTCACACTTTCACATATCAACTACATAAATTGTGGAGATAAATGAGAAAATACAGTTTTTTTCTATTTCCGACAGTACTATAGACCAGATAATCCAGTGATCAACAACATTGTCATCGATCTATGCAACTGGGATACGGTGACATGTTTCATCCAAGCCAGCGAGCCTGATCACCCGATCCCGCCTCTTACGAAAAGTATTGGTTGCTGATGACCAACTCTAACCCGGATCTTCACGGGTCTCTCCGCTTAAATTCCTGCCACTTGCATGAAGCCCTCGAAGAGGATAGGGTGACAAAAATAGTTCCGCCAAACATGAATTGGGATTGGTGAATTGGGATTCGAACCCGGGGATGTCTTATTCGATCATGACATCTTACCTAATAACGAAAAATATAGCTTATCCCCGTCCAATATCTCCGAGTCCGTTGCCGTGAACGTTGCCACATTGGTCCCCACAGTCGACTCCTCCTGTATAGAGGGAATGGGCGAGGGGGCAGTGAGTGTCGGGATGACGTCGTACACGTTGCTGATGAAGACAGTGAGGACTCTGTCGGTGGACCCACTCCCATCAGTCACCCTACAAACAAACAACTATATGTAGTAGTAACCAGCCTTTTAAACCGTAAAACATTTGTTCAACAAAATACATTAAACACACATTTTGTTTGATTAGATAGTGATTTAGTGTTTACTGGTCGAGCTTGATAATCTTATAATGTGAATAGGTTGTAATTTGTCATTAGCGTGGGTCTAGGACAGCTGTGACAGGCCAGGGCCTTGATTTTCGAAGCCCTCTTAGCGCTAAGACAGTCGTAAATTAATATTAATATATGCACTTACGACTATCTTAGGGCTGAGAGAGCTTCAGAAATCTAGGCCCCGATCTCCTTTAAACAATATGTATCATTGTATGGGTGTATAAATGTGAGGATATACAGTGGAAGCCCTCTAAACCGACATTCATTGGGACATCAGGAGAGCTGAGATACCGGATGTCGGTTTAGAAAGCATTAATTACTATAGGGCGGTCCTTGTGCCGAAATACGGAATAGACCGACGCTGGATTAGAGGGCGTGTAAATGATCATAAATTAACTAGCTTCTGTCGGGACCAAATTCTAGGGCCGATATTGAGAGCATGCCGGAATGGAGGACTGCCGGTTTATAGGGCTTCCACTGTATACTTGTATGTATGTGCTGGGCGGGGTGGTTGCGTGGTATGCATGGGTGAAGATAAGGGGCTGGTGGGTGTATGTGTGTGTTGGTGCGGTCATTGTATCCAAATTGCGTAGATCGATGCTCATGTTGTTGATCACTGGATTGTCTAGTCCAGACTTGACTATTTCTAGACAACCGCCATATAGCTGGAATATGGCTGAGCGCGGCGTTCAACAACAAACAAAACCCACAGTCTAAACGTTTCTTAAAACTGGATGTTTGTGAAGCTCCAAACGGCCTTTTCAAAACCCGCTCTTGCTGTTTGTATGAAATGTTGCCTTACTGAATGGTCAATACAAATGATTTGGTAGACTCGTAGTCAACGGTCCCTGATAAAGTGACGCTGCCGCCGATGTTGATGTCGAAGGGAGCCGCGGCAGGGGTCGGGGTATAGGTCCACGTTATCCCCACACCAGGAGTAGGGTCTACTGTGAAGACCACAGTCCCAACTGTCGTGTTCTCTGGAACAGTCACTTCACTCGTACCATCGGCCTTGGGATTTGTGATCGCTGGCTGGCCTGTGGAAGATCGGAGAGATGGTGAATTATTTATTGAAATAGACCGGTACCGATTGCAGTGCATTCATTATTTAGATGTATGGGCCCAGACAAAGCATACATTCGAGTTTCCATATCCCTTCAGTCGATGCATTAGCTCTCCCTCTTCTCGTCCAAGTACCGTAGTTCTTGGGGGCTATTGGAGACGTCTTAAGCAGCAATTCCAGATTTACACATTGACAAGTTGGGCATAAAGGAAGGCCGAGGATATCAAAACAAGCAGCCTACTCTCCCTCACGTGCTTGGATCAGATTCACTAGAAATATCCAACACATTTATTTTTAACAAATCAAGGCTATGAATTGAAAGTGGTCGGTATTTAAAAGAAAAATTGTTATTCCAACCCAAGGAGAAACGTGACGTATGAAAGGCATTTGTCCAACACGCGCAACCAACTGCCAAGGGAAACAACTCTCAGCTATGAAACTTAAAAACCCACTAATTAATATTTTCGTATCATTACAGTACACATTTGTGCACCGTTATCGAATCTCTCATAGGCTAGAGACATCCAGGTATTAAGATTTAAAAAAAGAAGAAAACAAAACAAAACCCCGAAACAACAGTTATTCTATGTTGATGTATTCAATATAGGCACCATTATTACTTCCTTCCTACGTTTGTAGTGTTTCGGGGGTCGGTGGGGTAGCCTAGTGGTTAAAGTGTTGGCTCGTCACGCCGAAGACCCGGGTTCGAAGCCCCACATGGGTACAATGTGTGAAGCCCATTTCTGGTGTTCCCCGCCGTGATGTAGCTGGCATATTGCTGAAAGCGGCGTAAAACTACACTCAGTCAGTCAGTCAGTGTAGTGTTTCGGTAACTGTTTTAGCATAGTTACGTTTTGAAAAAGTTTGTACTGTATATTTAGCGTGCCTCCCACGTACAGTTCACAAAATATCCCCAGTTAAAATAGTGAGATTAAAATCTGTGTGTTCTGAGACAACCAAATCATCTCCTTCAGAGTGGCATGTACTGGTTCTTGGAGTGTAAACAACGGTAAATATGAATGTGAATGTTGGAACGTCAGCGGACACTTCAATATACGGGCACTAGTGCCTGCTGTTTGGATTTCCTATTATAATATTTACACAACAATCCAAGAGGATCCAAGTCGTTGACTGGGTTTAGTTCACTATCTAATGTGTATGTTTACACATTAACTGATAGTATACTAAAGCATTTTCTAGTCTCCTGATATCACTTTTGTAGAAATAACATTTGCAAACATGATATGGTACTACTAATATTATAGATAATATACAACATACATGTTCTTAACAGAGTAAAATAAAATACAATATCATAACAGTGTTCGTTTTACAATGGGTGTAACCTCTGTCAAATGTGTATCGAGGAAATAAATATATGACTGATACTTTGACAGTTTCAAAAAGGAATTTTAATTATTGTTTGATATTGTTTAGCTTCATATCATGGAACTGTATAACGTTCGTCATAAAGTTAAAACGTTAACGAATATAATTTACTGTTCGATGAACGTAAATAGAAGAGCCAAATTGGAAATTATCCCGTCAAACTGACGGATTTAATTGATTGTTGAACCTTTCTATTTGCCATATTATCATTTACAGCTGCCATATTATTTATTTGAACTAACATCATCAAGTACCAGTTGCACTTTGAATACTTACAATCCCGAGACAGCAAACAAAACCAGGCTTAAGCTCTCGACGTATTGCCAGTGGTTATGCCACCGCGTCATGATCAAACTGCTTAATGTAGCCGTAGTCATGGTGTTGGCTGAGTGAGTGATTGAGTGAGTACGTGGGTGGGTAGGTGGGTGCTTGGGTGGGAGCGAGCGAGTTTAGTTTTACGCCTTTTAGCAATGTCACGGCGGGGAGCACCAGTTGTTGGGTATGGGATACTGGGAGAAGGACGTGTATTGCAGGTGCACGTGGTGGGGTTGCAGGGGTACGCACCGAGCTAAACCCTTTTCTTATCTGGCCACATATTGGTGCAACATTGGCAGATTAATAACGTTTATACGAAATATAGTCCTTTCTAGGTACTGGAAGACATAGACATAGTCTTTGATGCATGTATAACGAGTGAGTTTAATTTATGTGGCGTCGGCAACATTTCAGCCATATTGTGAATGTATAACGATAAGCAAATATCATAACTTTATGTCCACTTGCAACAAAGACAAATATGTAAATAACGAAAACTGGATGAGAGGCATGAATGATTATTATGCAAATCGGAACGAAAACTGTTGAGATAGGTGTAGGATAGTGGATATTTATTATCTACAACTGAATATCTTCAAGATGGGATATAGCGAAATTAGCTTTTACTCTTAAAAGGTCAGTTTAAGTAAGTTAACACTGATCGATAAATCGAAACATCAAATGGAATTGGGAATCAGTCTATCTCATAAACTGAGAAAAAAGCAAAAGAAATACACTAAAACATGTCCAAATAAATAAGGGTCACATACGTCATAGCAGGCACGAATACAATTATTACTAACATACCCCTCGTATAGATATAGAAAATGTATAATACGTCGGTACCAGTGTCATCTATTGTTTGGACTACTACAAATCATAATAGTTTTTCCAGTTATCATGCGGATGAAAATACCTTATATTTATCATGCGTATTTACACGTGCTAAGTTAACGTTGAAGGTAATTAGTACACTTGTATTTTTGTCCTATGAAATGTTCCCACCACAACCGTGAAAACATTCTGAATACACTCTGGTACGCATGAACAACCCACCTACATGTATGGAAATCGAATAAAAGTCAATAAAAGCGATAAAATTTAATCTTTGAGCTCAAATAAAACCGCGGTATCACGTGAATGAATATTGTATCTACCTAGGCTTGACAAACCTCCCACATAGCAGTCTTCCATCTTCATACACCATCTCGAAACATACACAGGATAACCTCCTTGTCATGGGATGCTTTTCCTAATTTCCATCTTCGACGAAACTATTATCATCTCTAACCATTGTTTTCCTTGAATATGCCCGCGTATATATTTGGTCAGTGATAAGTTAGTCGTACAGCGACACTCAACAGTTCCAATTGGAACTTGTTTCAAGAAATACCTTAACTAACACACAAGCGAAAAACAACGGGGAATTGTCGACGCATTTTAAAGGTATCCAATCCTCTTTCGCGGCAATCCACATGACCGTGCGCCTGAGTAATCGCCCTTTATCAAAGGGACACTACTCTATGAGACGAAAATCTTGTTTGGTGTCTCTGCTGCCAGTGAGAACATTACGAATTGTAGTCAAAATGAAACAAGGTACATGTTATCAACTACGCCCTTGTCATACGGTAGTTTTCGGTATAAGGACTATCACTTTGTTATGACAATGTAATCACAAATATCCCTCAGTTGTGGCTGGTCGATTTACAAGGACGACTCCATTTGTCATGATGATTTGTTCGTTTGTAAAGCAGTACTTACTTTACAGTCCGTAAATGTCCACCATTTGTTCCGATTACACAAACAGTTTACAGTTATGTGAGATACCTACCTGGCCCTTTGTATTGTCCATAAATGTTCCCCATGAATATGCGATAACACAAATAGCTTACAGTAATCTGAGATTAAAGTAGGATTGAAACAGTAACATACCACTGGTGACGGAGACTCCCGAATACAATAATACAACAAACAGCCACTTCATCTCGTCTTCATGCACCTGAAGATAAGATATTTTTCATTTGTGTAAAATATTTCTAAAGTCATTCACAAAATTATGTTCTATCTATTTTTTTTCCAGAAAGATTCGCTATTGTATACATTCTAGCAATTGGATCAGATAATTTTCCATTTTTTCAAATAAAATAAACGTGTTAAAATTTAACGTCAATATGCGGAACTGTTTAAGCCAAATAGCGACGAGACCAAGTTTACACATATACACAAATCCATTATCAAAACGAAGGCACACCCAAAAGCAAGTTTTTCTCCACACATTTTAACATCACAATATTGTCTTTTTAAAATTTAGAACACGGGCTGTAACAATAGTATTTATAATTTTTAAAAAGTGCAATGACAATAATATTTAAATCTATAAAACGCTCTAACAGTCCAAATTAATAAACAAGCAATTCGTAATTATGAGATCTGTTCACACAGGTTTTCAATTTCACGAAATCTCTTGTCACATTAAACGTATATGGTACATATGATAATGAAGCTAATGAAATGGCATTCAATATTTGGTAATCAAACGCCTAAAAGTATTAAATATAAGGGAATAATACTGGTAATATACTCACCACCCATTACTATGTTGAATAAATTTCTAATCCCCAGAGAAAGCCATACTCTAATCTTATCCCAGTGTATGGTGTACCCATATGAAGATATGTGAGGGGTGTTTACCTATGAGAGAGCACTTCAACCCTATCTGTGTGGGGTGGGGGTAAACCTTTCATATAATGAAGTCTCAAGTTGAAGTGGAAATATAGATTATATTCATAGATAGGCCATTGGGTGTAATTGCTTGATCACCCCAGCGTTTAGAGGTAGAGGGTTGAATAATTCAGTTTATGAATGCGAGGGACACTGGGTTTCACCCTGAGTTTCGTGCTGTAATTGTGTTCCCTCACAAAACAACCCAGCAGGACACCAGAAACTGGTTTGAAATGATGACCATTTCGGGAGAATCGAATCCGGCATTTACGAACCGACGCTTTTAGATAAATGTCACACATTTTCCCATGTTTTAGACATGTTTATCGCTCATACAGCAAAGCCTCCTAGTCATGACGTCACCAGGTAGGACCTTTTACATGCAAATTATTTCAAAATACATGATATCGTATGTCAATATACATGATATCGTATGTCAATATACATGATATCGTATGTCATATACATGATATCGTATGTCAATATCCAGCATTTTTCTCGATAACAACTGAACACAGTTCATACTGTCAATACATCAGGATATTTGAGACCATTTGTATTACAAGTTTACTACTCCCAACAAAGTAAAGGTTCATCTTATTTTTGTCAAATGACTGAATATGTTGTTATGTGAGATGTTCTTCAACTTCTTTTGGGGTATAACTTCGGTATTATTTTTTACATCAACATCGGGTGTTAAGTTCTTTAGAGATTATATACGTATGCACGCACTTAAGCACGCGCACAAAAACGTAGACACCGGTGATGTGAGCTCATTTTCACTGCCGTTCATAAAAGCCTCTCTCTCTATAGGGCAGAGGTTATATGTAAGTGCAGTAACAAGTACGGGTCAAGTAGTCCAGGAGACAAGCCGAGTGTATAGAAATCACACGCGGTTTTCTGGCTGAACATGCAGAGCATTGTTATGTTCTGATCTTATATCCAATTCCATAATGAATATAATGATCACCGGTGGCAAATCTGAAAATATCCACTTCTGCAGGTGAACTGTTGATTAAACCGTTGTGAATTGCTTCTGATCGTCGCTTTTTGCATGACTAAATTTTGCTTTTGTTTGTTGTCTGTTTCCATGAAAAACTAGTTCCATCGACAGCTTAAAATATGTATCATATATGTTCCAAAACATGACAAAGCGTGCGTAGCATCTAAAGATTTTATTGAACAGTGAAAACAGCTAAATAAACAACAATATCACATATCAATCCAACAGTAAAAAGATAGTCTTCATCAAACAATTCTTTTAAAAACATAGATCTCAATAAATAAATTTCTATATGAATATAAATAACGATGAAATAACAAAATAGAGATTCACTAGGACGTGGACGGATATTACGATCGTGTGAGAACATAACTTAATTAACAAACTATATTACATTACAATAATCCATAATTGTGGAACATAGTCGATATTTGATCAAAGTACAAAACAAGAGAAAAATATCCTGTAACAAATGAAAAACACTCAGACAAAATTTGCCATTGTCACTACGCTACCAAACTGATAAGGAAACAGTTTTACAAATAAATTTACAAATTGTGAGGTGGTGCGTTTTGACCTGAACACAAAATCAGGCCTGAGATGAGAAACAGCAGTAAGATAAGTGTAACGGGTGTCTGTCCTTCGGGACAGTGAGGTAGTGATATGTCAGTTTGTTATCAAGGGACGTAACTCAGTGTACTGATCGGTGATTACAGTTGTCATATAGGGAACATAAGATGGAAGACTCCAAGTCGTGAGTTGGGCGTAACTCTGTAAGAGGACTTAATGAACCGTTATATGCTACAGAGTCAATAAATGTGGGGGAAAAGATTATTCAGGTCCCTGACGTTTACCGGAAAGGGAAGCATTGCTGACACACGTAGAAATATAATCCGGTTTCAGTCTGCAATCATAAGACCCGTGAACATCTGGTTTAGAATTGATCTTCAGAAACCCTTGCTTGTCGTAAGAAGCAACTAACGGGATCGAGTGGCCAGGCTCGCTTGCTTGGTTGACAGATGTCATCGTATCCCAATTGCGTAGATCGATGTTCATGCTGTTGATCACCTCGATTGTTAGGTCCACTGTCGATTATTTACAGACCGCCGCCATATAGCTGGAATATTGCTGAGTGCGGCGTAAACCTAAACTCACTCACTCCCCACTACAATCATTCCCCACTCCCCACTACAAGTTTCGACAGTAAGGGACGGAACTGTGCTTGAATCCAAGCATCTAATTCATCGAAAGCATACATACATGTCTACAAAGATTCTCAGTATCTACATAAAGTTATTGCAGTAGGTAGAGACCGATCGAGATTGAGGCTGTGAATCCAGGTTATGGCAGAAGTAGTCGAGTTATCTCCCTTGCTATGTAGAGTCTCAAGGCTGCCTGCAGTGTCTGTGTCAAGGACGGTTTCTACACGTTGCTGTCTCTGGCTACGACTGCTTTGCCCTCCGGTGTCGACAACCAGCGTCTCTCATAGGTCCGAGTATTGTACTCGTACACTTTGCCAGTAGCTGGAAGTAATGAAACACCCGGTTACTATAGTGATAGCTGCTCAAAGATTGATCTGTCATACATCAGTTGTATAATAAAGACGATGTTAATGCATTAAATTTATTGATTATGATTCTATGATTATATAATATTGTCTATTAACTGTGTGAAGCCTAAAAACACATTTTATAAAATACACCAATACCGTGTAAACAAATATATCTGAGGAAGAATATATTTAAATTTTAATTTTTTATTTTAATTGAAAATGAATATATTATCGTTTGAAAACATTTTTTCTTAATGGCAATTGTGGGCAAGAACATGTACCCACTGTCCAATGCTAGTCGTAAAAACAATTAGTAGATAAACGCGTAAAAAAACAATTGAACAGCCGGACAAGAACAAGACGCGACTAAAGAGTTAGGCGTTTCTATGGAAACTCTTGTCACTGCGTCCATATGACGTGTATTATTGCTTATACTGTCCTACTCCATTATGTAAGCCTTTGTCGATAGTGCTGACAGCAGCGGCAATCAAGTTACGTTCCTACAGCGTCCCTGACTAGTCGTTGTTCGATTCTGTGTTGGTATTACTGCACCATTGTTTCGTCAGATGGACAGACTTACCTGGATCCACAGCTGCTCCGTCGAACTGTCTGCTGATGACGATGTGGTCGGCTGGTTTGGGAGACAGCAGCACAGTGCGAGGTGTTCGCGGAGGACTCACGTTACTGTACGTTCTTCTTGTCTCCATGGGGCGGAAATACTCTTCCTCAGCCGTCTCCATCCGGGGCTAGTGAGAATATAAAGAACATTGTATACCCTATATAGATACAAATATAGGATCCTTGCATATAGTGCTGAGACACTGCTAGTGACAATTTATATCTTGATGCCTTTATTTGTTTTTTTTTTTTGCGTTACAAGGCCCTGTTACTATATTCCAGTGATATCGTGGCCGATGACACCACACCACCTTGTACCCCTATCAAGAATCGAAACCGGCCACATTAGAAGTGATCTTGAATCTTCAGTCGTAAGAGGCGTGGGGCATTAGAAGAGCATATACATATATATATACTAAAAATACATAATATCATGGCATTAAGAGGACAGACAGTGTTGCAACAAAACAAATACACTTTTAAGATATAAATTAACATGTTTTCGAAATATTTGCATAACAAATTGACAAAAGGTAATTAATTTGTTCAACCATCTGATTTTCAGCGGATAGTACCAATTTATAATTCGGAACGTTGGGATATTTACGGTAATAAAACGACATACAAATATTTCTGTTCTGTAAACCGAGGACAGATTAAAATACAATAAAACTCACTGATATCTCTTGTGTCACATAATGAGCATAATCTATTTACTGATGGTATTTTGTTCCATCTACCCTTTTCATCTTGGAGTCTATATGATTTGATGTTCGAATATGGCATTTGGTATTCTGTATTTATTTATATTATTCAATATACGTATGAAATATATGAAAGCTTATATGCAGTACCTTTTTAGGTATATTTTCTTTTTTCGCTTCTCCATATTTGTAGATATTGATAATGTAATCCTGTGTAAATAGATTTATTTGATAGGAAGGTATAGAATTCGTAGACTGATGTCAGTCACTGGATTGTCTGGTCGAGACCCTATTTTCAGACTGACGTCTTACAGCTGGAATATTGCTGGGTGCGGTGTAAAAACCGGTAGAAACAAACAATCAAAAATAGCCAACTGACATGAACCAAGGACAGCTGATCATTATGAATAATGAATTCTGCCATCTACCGGCCGTGTGCGAAATACGCTTTTTGCCGGAAAGTGCACATAAAATCTCAGAATCATTATCACATACCGGCGTCCTGGGAACAGCGGCAAACGCAGCCGGTGGATACTGCTTCGTTTTCTTCACGTCAAGATCTGGGACAGTTGCTGCAGAGAAGTCAAAAGAGAAGTTATATATAGGCTGTTGCATCAACTGACCAGTAGGTATAATGCTTCTTTATGCTGGCAGGCAGGTGTAATGTTTCGTTATGCTTACGTTTAGTTTGGAAGAACCTGTTCTGATTCTGTTCTTTTCTCTCGGGCTGTTTTGTCGGTGTTATCGGTCTGCAACAAGAACGCCAAGTTTTACAGTGCAGATTAGCAAAGGCATGACCTGACGCATTCATTCTTGTAGATATGCTCTTATTGTTCTTATGTTTATAATAACAGTAAAACAACAGGAAAAACAACATCACCAGCAGGAACAACAATAAACATAATACCATTGTGTGCATATTCCCTTACCCTGATACTAACTAACAAAGTACAACAGATTTATCCCGGTCAATGGACCACTGTACTCTCGAATTTCATTTTCAAATTCCTTTTGGTCAAGAAAAAGAGCAAATCTGAAAGTGTTCCATATTAAATATGCAAACCTTCTCTTCTTCCTGTACCAGAGGATGGCGAAGATGACGGTGCCGATGAGCACAGCAGCCAGGATGCTGGCAATGACGATGAAGACGATACCGACTGTTGTCTGATGCCAGGGGGTGACAGTCTCAGAGAAGGGACCGGCGTTCTGGATGACAAAGTAGTCCCAAGCTGACCCTACATAACGCGAAAAATAATATATGAATTAAAAAGAGTTATGAAATGCAAGTATGCAATTTTCATGATGTAAATCAAATATTTTTGTCCTTGATCGAGTAAATCAGGTGAAATCAATCACCAAGTCTGCCAAAGTCGGTCACTTATGGAGAAGTTTTCTGTGAATAAACACTTCACGGGCATTTTTGCACCGAAAAGAAAAAAATCCCATTGACGCCTTCACTGGATGAAGTCGGCTGGTCTTAGACATGTAAAGGAGGGTTTTCGTTTTGCTGCTCAGGACCAGCCGCTTCCCAGTCGCAATCGTCAAGATGTCATTCTTAAAGAAAATGTTCACATGAAATGTCGACTGAGCAATGAAGGCACGGAGACTGTCCACTGCCTTGTCAGTGGATGTCCTTCCTTGGCAGAAGCAACATATAAAAGCATGATTCAATTACATGCATCGCCATGGCTATGGATTGTCCATGTTCAAGGCGTCACGGAAAATGGTGCTTTTAAACGTCTTCGGAAAAAGCCCCCATACAACCTGAGACAAATTCCTGCTAATAAACCTGATCTTGTCCTTTTGGAGGCAACCAATGAAATAGTGTATAAACGTGACATTTCTGTCCCATTTGACAGCAATGTGATTGGAACGATTCAGGAAATACATTATATGTGGACCTCGCCCTCAAAATGTCTCGCTGAAATGTTAAATCAAAGGCTAAACTTACATTTCTGGCTTTTAGTATATCACTTGATGTCTCTTGAGACACATGAACCTCAGATTAATAGAACCGACCCCCAGTGAGCATGACTAAACACTTTGTATTGTGGCTTTATAATAAGGAACAATGTTCATGGTAATTCTCATTATGAGGATTTCACTGTTACAAACAACAAACGTATTTTTACACCAAATATCCTCTCGATGTAAAAGCCGATAATCCGTAAATTTCCCTTAATGTATTGATTGCTCGTATTTCTTATTTCTGTCGAATGAAGCGGCCATAAAATCGGTTAATATGCTGTTCACCGCCTTCACGGTCACAGAAGAAAAACACGTGAAGCTTCATTACTTTGACACACTCAGTCGAAACTGATCAGCAACTGATGACGGAAGAATGATGTTGTATGCTGTTTCATAAATGATTCTTGGGCGGTGGGGTAGCCCAGTGGTTAAAGCGTTCGTTCGCTCGTAACGCCTACGACCCTGGTTCGATTCCCCACATGCGTACAATGTGTGAAGCCCATTTCTGGGGTCCTATGTCGTGATATGTATGGAATATTGCTGAATGCGGCGTAAAACCAAACACTCTCACTCACTATAAATGATTGCACTCAGGCAGAGATCAATGTCATGTGACCGACAGACGACGCAAAAGACAAGGAACAAGAAATATTTTATCTTCTGCGGCTGATGTTTTGTCATTACTAAGAGGAGATCCCATCGATATCTGCGGTTAGAGGCTTTTGATGTAGCTATGGAGTTAGCAATGACGACGCATGGGCTTTAAACGTGCTGAATCTCACATGGTTGCCATTTGCTTGGTAAATAAATCATTGCATGTCATGATAACCCACCTTGCAGTGCTGGTGATGGAGTCCCGGACGGGTCAGATGCAACAACACTGGTGACATCACTGGAAGTAACGAAAGTCTTGCCTTGGGCTAGGTTGCTTGCCGACTCAGTCGAGTTGTCCGCAACAACCACGAGGCTGATATCGACTGGACTGAAAGAGAGCATACCACAGGCACTGTTAAATAGTATCTACAGAGCAAAAGTACCAGAGGATCTGCCTCAGTTGGGTTTCATTTACACAGATCATGGTTAACGCTCTAATTCTGATTTATATAAATTGGGATGACATTTTGTGGAGGATTTATATAAAATGTGTTGACATTTTTTAGAAGCATTTAGAGAACTCGTTCAGTTCTTGAATTTGTAGTGGCCTTATACATTTCCATGTCATTAGTGTCCACCTTAGTTATTTAAATAACCTTGAGGTGAGGAGTCTCCGCCGTGTTGGTGCTGCTACTGCCGTCTCGCCTGACCTCTCCGTGATGCACCAGATCCGTACCAGACATGAAGGATATCTGGATGACATCACCGCCTTGAACTGGGACACAAACTGATCCTGTCTGAGGAGGAAATCTGTTTTGCTTATGCCAAGTTTGATAACGACGGCCACTGTATTGGGGTCGAATGTATCCACCCGAATTGATGCTGCCGGGCTGGTTGATTGTGAAGGAACACCACCATCGTTCCCCGAGGCTTCCAGAACATACTTGGTGTTGACTGATACTGGGGTCTGTAGCGTCACAACACCTAGATACAATAGATATTTACATGAATTGAACATGCCGCCTTTTTGGAATATGTGAACCAGTGTTATGACACTCAGACTGTACATTATTAAAACATGTAAAGAGTGACACAATCTAACGTTGATTGATAAATGGTTTGCATTACCTAAACTAGCATCGGCCGCTAAGAAGAACACATACTGGCTCTGGGAAAAAAGGGACATTTTGTCTGCATGGTTAGTGATGTGTATCATTGTATCTACATGGTTAGCGTTCGATATCGTGTCTTTATCGTTAGTGTTGTGTGACATTCTGTCAATATAGTTAGTGATCTGTATCATCATGTCTGCAGGTTAGTGTTTGATAACGTTGTGTCAATATTGGTAGTGTTGTGGAGTATTTTGTCTGTATGGTTAGTGTTGTGTATTGTTGTGTATCATTGTGTCTGCAGGTTAGTGTTCGATAACTTTTCGCGTCTATTTTGTTAGTGTTGTGTAAAACTGAATGGTAACGGCCTCAATGTGTGGTTAGTTGTGCATATTCTAGGTTAGTATATTAGCAGTCTTGTTCGAGATATGTATGCACTAGATTCACATTAATAGAAACGAACATACTGCTTCAGTCAAGACTATAAATAGTGGAACTACATCAGCCATATCACGTCATGGATAAATAGATATAAATACCTGAACTGGCACCAACAGCAAAGAAAAATCCATAAGGGTTCTGGGAAAAGACGTAGAACACCTGTCCATTTAATCCAGAATCAGCATCAGTGGCAGTAAGAGTCACAATAGTGTTGTCACAGGTGCCAGTGTAGGCAATCTCAGTGTTGTAAAATGTAGAGCTGAAGACAGGAGCATTGTCATTTTCATCGATAACTGTGATGTACACCACAGCTGAAGCAGTCAGGGGAACTGTCCCATTGTCAACTGCTAAAATGGTTACATTGAAGTCCACGTCCACCTCTCTGTCCATAACTGACTTGACACTTACAATACCTGAGGCAGAATCAACTGTTAGGAACTGGTCACCTCTGACCCCTTCAGGAGTTGAAGTATCGATTGACAGAGTTATGGCACCATTGTGGGCGTCTGCATCGGTGACTGTAACAGTTAATATGCTCGTTCCTGCTGCTGTGTTTTCATTTACAGATCCTGTATACCGTAACGAGTTGAAGACAGGTGGGTTATCATTTAAGTCATCAATCACGATGGTCACATTAACATCTCCAGTTAACTGAGGAGTTCCACCATCTTTGGCACGACATCTGAAACTGTATGTGTCAATAGTTTCTCGGTCCAGATTCCCTGCTGTAGTGATCACTCCAGATGAAAGGTCGAGGACAAAATGGGACGCTTCACCAGTCCAGAAGACAACAGTTTCATATGTCAGTGCTGCATTTATTAGGCTGTCTTATCTGTAGCTTCTACTGTCCCAACAGATGACCCTGAAGGAACATTTTCGGCTATGTTAAATGTGTAGAAAGACTGTTTGAAGACTGGATTGTTGTCATTGATATCATCAATCACTATTGTAGTGGTAACAGAAGCAGTGAGTGGAGGGGTTCCCTTATCCGTTACATGGATGACGAGGTTGTAGGAGGCGGTTCTCTCCCTGTCCAGTGAATTCTGAACTTGAACAATACCACTTCCCAATTTCAATCTGAAATAACAATTTCACACTGCATTAAATATGCCGATTATGACTGGTCTATTGTCATAACATATAATTACGTTATATATGCAACATGGATATATATGATACAATGATTACAGACCTTGAAATCTCCATCAGTGTTTCCAGACTCGATAGAGAACACAAGTTCAGCATTCACACCACTATCTATGTCAGAGGCTGCAATAGTGAAGACAATGGTTCCAGAACTTATGTCTTCACTCAGATTAGTTGAGTAACTTCCCGTGATGTTAGGTTTGTTATCGTTTACATCGAGGAGGTTGACTGTCACAACTGCTGTTCCTGTATTAGCTGGTGTTACCTGGTCGATGGCCAAAATTGTTAAATTGTGGCTGAAACATATCAGGAACATTTAGAATTCTTACTGTTCATTGAGTCAATTAGATAAAAGTGTATAGACTATTCAGTCATATTTGCTTGGTAATTGTTGAAGTCCGCACTCAGCAATATTCCAGCTATATTGCGGCGGTTTATAAATAATCGTGTCTGGACCAGACAATCAAGTCATCAACAGCTTGAGCATCGATCAACAGCTTGAGATACGATGACACGTCAACCAAGTCAGCGAGCTTGACCACCCGATCCCGTTAGTCGCCTCTTACGACAAGCATGGGTTACTGAAGATCAATTCTCACCCAGAATCCAGTCATAAATATCACTATTCTAACTGTTATATACCTTGATTGTTCAGAGGGTAAGTGTATATAGACACAGTACCTGGGAATAGTTTCTCTGTCTAACAAAGCTTTTGTAGATATTTGCCCAGATCCTGTATTGACTTCGAAAAAGGCATCAGTGAGACTGTAGGTGAAGACGTTGTTATTGTTAGCAGATGAGTCAGCGTCTGTGGCATAGACAGTCGTCACACTTGTTCCCAAAGTAGCATCTTCTGACAGACTTTGAGTAAAGAAGTCAGGTGTAAATGTAGGAGCATTATCGTTAAGATCAACAACCGTCACCCTGACGACTCCAACAGTAGATAGAGCAGGCGTTCCACCATCTATTGCTTGTAGAATTAGGAAGAAAACATGTTTTGTCTCATAGTCGATGTTCTGTGTTGTTGTAATAATACCACTGGAGGAGTCAATTGCAAAATATGCTTGTCCATCTCCAGATGTTATTGAATATGTAACTTGACCATTTGTACCCGAGTCTTTGTCAATGGCGGTTACCGTTTCTACTGACTGACCAATCGCTACATTTTCATTCAAGAGAGGAGTATATATAGATTTAGTAAATACTGGATACTCATCATTTTCATCCTGAAGTACAATTTCAAGCCAGAATGACCCGGTCAGACCACCTTTGTCTTGTGCTTCAACGGTAATGTTGTGAGTGTTGGGAGGTGTGTCGTAATCGAGAACGGACGATGTATACAGTTCTCCTAACTGTGGACTGCAGAAGAAAAGCTCAGGGATGTTTCCATTTGTGATACTCCAAGAGAATTCCCCATCAGTTCCTGAATCACCATCTGCAGCACTTGCATTGTAGAAGTTGGTTCCTACTGGGATTAGCTCGCTCACTGTGATGCTATCATTGGGGACAGCAGGAATCGGAGCAAACTCGTTTTGGGATAGTACATTTATGATGATTCTGCCATTTGATGTCAATGGTGGTGTTCCACTATCTGAAACTTGTATGACAAGATCATACATTGTCAAAGTTTCAAAGTCTAAGGCTGCATTTGAGAGAAGTTCGTTTGCCACAAAGTTGAATACACTTCCCGTATTTCCTGAAACAATGGAGTACACGGGTGTTGCATTTGGAACATCATCATCATCTCGGGAAGTCACAACTGCAACTGTAGATCCACTTGGAGCTGTCTCAAGAACATCTTTGATGTAGAGGATTGGTACAAACACAGGGATGTTATCATTCACATCACCAACTGTTATACTGAGATCCACCTCAGCACTACGCTCAGCCCCTGAACTAGCAAAGTCATCAGTGGCACGGATTCTCAAAGTGTATGAGGTAGTGCTTTCTCTGTCTAAATTACCAACAGTTTTAATTTCTCCCGTTCCTTCATCAATACTAAAATGACCAAGATCATTGCCAGATGGTATTGAATACCTAACCGTTCCATGAAGTAAACCCTTATCGGTATCTGTAGCTGTTACTGTGTACACAACAGATCCTATAGAGACATCTTCCTGAATAGGTACAGGCGTAACTGGAGTAAATACTGGAGCTGCTTCATTTACAGGTGTCACATCTAAAGTTACAGGAACGGTGATAACTCGTGCAGTACCCCCTTGATCGGATACTTGAATTTCCAAGTTGTAGGAAGTTGTAGTTTCATAATCAAGCAACGCAAATATGGTAACCACCCCAGAAGCAGCATCGATGGTAAATTTACCCTCTCCATTGCCCGTTGTGATACTGTAAGCCAGGGTGGGGGTAGAGGAATCAGCATCAGAACATGTTAGACTACTAACAGTTGTTCCAATACTGGAATCTTCTGGTAGTGTGTTGATATAATTGGAAGGAGCACAAATTGGATCATTGTCATTTACATCAAGGACTAAAACTGTCAGCTGAGTTGTTGCTGTGCGACTTCCAGCTCCTGTTCCATCAGCAACTTCTACTGTCAAGGAATATGTGTCTGTGGTTTCCCGGTCAAGAGCCCCCTGAAGAACAACAGTCCCCGATGTTGGATCGATCCAAAATTTGTTATCTGCGTTTCCTAGAGTTATGCTGAATGATAGAACAGAATTGGAAATATCATTATCATTTGCATTAATGTTCTTTATCGTAGTTCCTAAAGCTGTGTCCTCACTGAATGACTCGGAATAGGGTCCGGGTGGAGCAAAGACTGGGTCATGCTCGTTGACATCAGATACTGTGACTGTTACAATGACATCGGTAGTAAGGGTTCCATCTGAAGCTTGTACTGTGAGGCTGTACGCACTCAGTGTTTCTGCATCAAGACCTGCATTGACTGTGACCACTCCTGATGTAGATCCAATAGCAAATACACTACCAGTGTTGCCTGCTGTGATTGTGTACACAACGTTATTGTTAGGAGGAACATCAGCATCCGGACAGGACACAGTGGTAACAGACGTGGATAGAGCAGCATCTTCTGGTACACTGCCAGAGTATACAGATGAGGTACAAAGAGGATAGTTGTCATTGACATCAGTTACAGTTATCGAGACAGTAGACGTTCCAGTAAGACTTGTGGGGGTCCCTTTGTCCTGGGCCCTTACTTCCAAAACATATGAAGATAATGACTCCCTGTCAAGAGATGCCTGAACAGACACTACTCCTGTCACAGAGTCCACAGTAAAGTGGCCCAGTGAATTTCCTGTTGATATGAAGTACACTACATCTCCTGAAAAAGACAACAAAATATACATTAGAGAATTATGAAGTGATTAAACTCTTGAATTGATTGATAGATTATACAAATACATATTTCTGGAGATATCAGTGATTTGATGGCATTAGGATATTGGTGGCTGAACATGGCTCATCCAATTCCAATCAAATACTTTAATCTATAACATGGCCGACTACCATTCGATCCAGCATCTGCATCTGTTGCTGCTACTGTCACAACAGCTGTTCCAGGGCTAGCATCTTCAGCTACGCTGGGCGTGTACGGGTTCTGGCCAAACGCAGGGTGTTGTCATTCTCGTCTATAAAAAGATAAAACAGCAAATAATAATATGTGTACTTTGTTCCTATATACTAACACAATGATGAGCAAAACGATCTAGTTCCTATTTACAATGCATTTGTGCTTGCTCACACCACCTACCTGTGATGCTGACAAAGACATGGATGACTGCAGAAAGTGCTGTGGCTCCACCATCTGTGACAGTAACATTCAGAAGGTATGACGCAGTCGTCTCCCTATCAAAGGATGCTGCTGCAGCAACAGAGACCAGTCCTGTAGAAGCATCCACATCAAACAGGTTACCTGGATCCCCTGCAATCTTGGCATAACTGAGCACATTGTTAGGAGCGTTTATATCTAAGTCTGAACACACAATTTGTTGAACGGATGTTGTTGGCGCTGTTGATTCCGTTATGGCAGTTGCGTAGTATGCCTGAGTGCAAGATGGTGTTGCATCATTCACATCAGTCACTGACACCGTTAGGATGTAGGTACCACTCAGGGGTGATGGATTAGTTCCAGCATCCGTTGCCTGGATTGTAACAGTGTATGATGACACAGATTCAGCATCAAGTACGTCGCTTACAGTCACGACGCCAGTCGATGGATCAATTATGAACTTCCCAAGTGATCCTGATATGATACTGTAGGTTACTTGTCCATCTGGTCCAGAATCATTATCCGTGGCATCAAGGTCAATAACAACGTGCCCCACTACACTGTTCTCAGGGACAGTTTCTGTGCTTGAAGCAGGGGTGAACGTTGGAGAATTTTCATTGATAGGATTGACAGATATGGACACGATGACGTCACTTGTCTGTCCCCCACCATCAGTGGCCCTCACTGTGAGAGTGAAGAGTTGGGTCGTCTCAAAGTTCAAGCCAGTGTTGTCAGTAATTGTAATAACACCGGCTGTAATACTAAAAACAGTGCCCGTGTTGCCACTTTCTATGGAATAGGTAATAGTTCCAAAACCTGCAGCATCAGCATCTGTTGCTGTTACTGTAATCACAGTCGTCCCTGTGGGTGTGTTCTCGTCAACGTTTGTTGTATATGTTGATGGATTAAACACTGGCAGGTTATCATTGACATCTGTTATAGTGAGTGTCAAAGTTTCACACGTTGATTTGATTGCATCAACTGTGCCTGAATCCGTAGCACATACATCAACAATCACAGTTGGATTGGTTTCTCTGTCTTGTTGAACCTTCAGAGTTATTACTCCGGTGGCAGATCCTATGATTAAGTTCGTTGTGTCTGTCAGGGAATATGTAACACTATTTGCAGTGTCAGCATCAGTTGCAGTCACTGCAAGTATTGTAAATCCTACTGCCTCTGATTCTGCCATAGAAGGGTTGAATGGCGTTCCAAGAAATGCTGGAGCAGCCTCGTTGACGTCTGTCACTGACACAATGACTGTAGCTGATGTTGTTCGGGCAGGAACACCACCATCCTCAACTCTTATTATAATTGAATGTGAAGTGGCAGTTTCATAATCCAAACCTGTTGTAGAAACAACACCACTCGCATCAACAGAAAACGAACCACTCCCAGCAACAGCATTCACGGATTCTATAATGTAGGAGAGTGTACCACTTGCTCCTGTGTCCAGGTCTGTGCATGTCAAAGTAGCTACATTGCCAGTGTAGTCTTCTCTTTGAATGGTAGTCGTGGAGCTAGGGGAGCATGTTGGTGTGTTGTTGTTGTCGTCAACGACGTTGATTGTCACAGTGACGTCTGAACTTCTAGCTGGTGTTCCACCATCAGTTGCTGTCACAGTAAGTGAGTATGTACTGGCAGTTGCAAAGTCAAGATTATCTTTGAGGGTGAGAGCACCATCAGATGCAAGGGCAAATGTGGCGTGTGTTGCCATGGAGTAAGTCAGATCTCCATCTGTGCCACTGTCGGCATCCGTTGCAAGGATCTGATGGATGAGCGTCCCAATAGCTGTGTTTTCAGGGACTGACTTGATGATAGTTGTTGGGGTAAACACTGGGTTATGCTCATTCACATTAGTGACTGTAACTGATACAACTGTGGTAGCGGACTTGGATTGTGCATCCCCTGCTCTGTCGACTGCCTTCACTGTCAGAGAGTGGGACACAGCTGTCTCATAGTCTAACAACTTGGCTGTTCTTATCTCGCCATTGCTGACATCGATCGTAAAGTCACTGTTCGTATTTCCACCTGTAACAAATGAGGTGATGTGTTTTACAATGGTTTCCGAAAAAACTCCAAAAGAACATTAGCATAAGACACACTTAGTATTGATAATGCTTTACATTTTACATACCGATAATCGAGTATGTTACTTGTCCATTTCCTCCAGTTGCAGGGTCATCAGTATCAGTTGCAGCAACGGTGACCACGACACTAGCTCCAACAGCATCCGCTTCAGACACACTGCCACTGTAGAGAAAACAGATGACAAATCACGGAGACATTAGTATTAATGTCTTGAATTCCATGGATATATCAAAAATACTTTTGTGTCTGATAATGGTTTGGGTCCAATACAAGATGAGTGGAGTCAGTGGCATAGCATCTGTTGAGAGTCATCAGTGTGCGACGTAGAGGGAAAAGGGTGTATAAGTACCTGTACGATCCAGAACCAAACACAGGAGTGTTGTCATTTTCATCTGTGACGGTCAAACTGACAGTGGCAGTTACTGTGGTTGTTCCGTCTGTTGCTGTAACCAGGAGGTCGTGAGTTGCATCCGTCTCTCTGTCCAGTGATGACACAAGCGTGATGACGCCTGAGGTTGAGTCCAGCGCAAACAAAGGGTACGAAGCTACAAAGGCATACGTGATTTGTCCATCTGAAGTGGAGGCGGAGTCTGCATCTGTTGCAGTTACCTGTGCTATTGTGGAGGCCAGTGCCAGATTCTCACTGTGGGATACTGGATATATCACTATAGTAACAAAGCAAAAATATGTTTGTAGTGAACAGCAACTGAAATATACCACTAGATATACCACTGGGTGTGAAATTAACAATGCATGTTGTGAAAAGCTAAAATGGCTGCAGAAGAACCCTGAATAATCACAGATCACTTTCTTGGGAAGCCTTTTTTAAAAATGTCAAAGCAAGGTGCTCATATATGAGTACACATGAATCTGAGGATGAAACGGCAACATGAAACTGAAAGGTGAGCGGAATATTTGGCCGACATATGCATCAAATTTCCAAAATCCCAGATGTATATTTAAAATATTGCTTGTCCAAGATCTGATTCTAAGTAACTTTCCAAAAATGTGTTTACATTATCTATCTCAAGAAGGAGTACTCTGAGATCTGAATATTTGGCTTTGAAAGGTATTCCCTCTCTATTAATTCAGTTTTATATGTGAGACTACTTACCTGGTGAAAACACTGGCGGAGCCTCATTGACGTTTCCAACATGAATTGTTCCGGGGATAGACACGCTATTTGTGGTGTCAGATACTGTAACAATTACATCATATTTTGTCACACCAGAGTCAAAGTCAAGGGGTGACTTCAACTGAAGAATATTTGAACTCATTTCGAACTTGATCGTATTTCCAGTTGACAAGGTGTATGTTACAGTTCCAGTAGTGTCAGCATCAGTACACGTGAATGTGTTGACACCGAATCCGGCGACCTCGGCTTCACTGACTGTCACAACGAAGGAATTCTGAGAGCAAGATGGTGTATTGTCGTTTACATCTGTGACTGTTACAGTAAGTGTAACTGTGGCAGTCCCAATGTCTCCACTTTCCGTGGCTTTGATGACGAGATCATAGCTAGCTTTTGTTTCTCGGTCCAAGTTAGCAATAGTCGACACTCTCCCTGTATTTGAATCTATGCTAAACTGATTACTGAGGTCACCACCCTGAATAGAATAAACAGGACTTCCAAAAGCATTATTTCCATCAGGGTCTGTGGCTACAACATCAGCAACGGATATCCCAATGGCGCTGTCTTCAGCAATGGTGGCGGAAAATGTTCCAGTAAATGTTGGTGGGCCATCGTTGACATTGACAACGTTGATGTTAACAGTGACTGTTGTTGACTGTACAGGACTTCCGGTGTCAGAGACTGTGATGGTCAAAGTATGGCCAGTGTTTGCCTCGTAATCAACAGCACCTGAAATAGTCAAATAAGTTTCATTATGAAAACTAAGATGACTCAGATGTTTTCGATACCCTTTCACAGGATACATATAGATTCGTTGTGTCTAAAATGTAGATCTGAAGGACGAACAAATACTGGTACCAGAGTGATAGTCATAACAGCCAAAAAGATTTGGTTAAGGTCTGTAATCTCTGCTGCGTGTGAAGTCTTTGGGAACAATGGTGCCATCGCGATTTGGTAGTGATTTATAAACACATGCCAATAATCTAGTCAGAATGCCATTATGTCTTATGAATATAAAAATGGTTTTAATCGCACATCCACCCTTAATGTATTGCACTTTAAGATGACATACCTACCTACAGCTCAAATATGAAAGTGAAACATACGTCCAGTCACCTATAGATATTGTTATCACATTTAACTCACTTGTTATTGTTACAGCGCCTGCTGTTACGCCGAAGTGAGAACCTGGACTTTGCACAAGAGTGTAGGTCAGTGATGTTCCATCTTCAACATCTGAGCATCCCAAACTTGCAATAAGTGTCGTTGGAAATGTAGCTGAAGCAGAGCAAATAAGAATCCATTAATTCTAATGGACATGAATAATACAGTGTGCGGAAAACAATAACAACATCCTGAAAGGTAAAGCAAAAACAAAATTGACGACAAATAACGTTTTGGTGTAGCTTACGACACTTCCACGTGTATAAAAAGACCCGCGAAGGTCCGGGTTAGAATATTCGTCTTCAGTAACCCATGCTTGTCGTAGCAGGCGACTAACGGGATCGGGTGGTCAGGGTCGCTGACTTGGTTGACGCATATCATCGGTTCCAAATTGCGCAGATCGATGCTCATGCTGTTGCTCACTGGATTGTCTGGTCCAGATTCGATTATTTACAGACCGTCGCCATATAGCTGGAATATTGCTGAGTGCGGCGTAAAACTAAACTCACTCACTCCACGTGTATAAAGTCTTACCGACATCCTCTGCAACATTCTGGGACCAACTGGATTGAGTGCAGGAGGGGATGTTGTCATTGACGTCTGTCACACTGACTGTTACCGTGCCAGTCCCCTACAAGACCGACAAAGACAACAAATAAATATGTATGTACTAAATGGATCAACAACCCGTTATGAACACAGTCAGCTGTTATGGGATATACATGTGCATACATATGTGACACTTGCCTGAAGTCCGCCGCCATCTGTAGCTGTGAGGGTGAGGAGATAGAACTTGGTGCCAGCAGGAAGAGCATCGTAGTCCACACTGGAGGCCAGGGTGATGACAGCAGAGGACGGGTCTATGCTGAACAGGGACAGGCCTCCTTGGGTTACTGAATATATTTCGAAGACGAAATGCACAAATCTTGACACAAATCTTGATGTTTTTCAATGAGAAGTTATTTGGCCAATAACTTGATATTTTCAACAATAGGTAATTTGGAAGAAATTTACACTCGGGTATATAAAGTACAGTTGTAATACGTCATGTACAACTGTATATACTGACATAGTCTGAATCCTTGTCAAGCGAGTGGTCACATACCGGAATTTTGTCCTTCCGGACAAGTCAATATTGAAAGTAAATGCAAGCATTTACGATGTTTGAAACAACTCTGGAAAACTATGTATGGATGTTAACTACAGGATACTGTTCATTGATATGTTGTACACATATAAAGTTAAACTACATGAAAGATATCTATCAACAGAATTTTACATTTCTGATTGTATGGCAAAAAATACATATCACTGAGCATATCGACGAAGTTGCTCACCAGTGCTGATAGCATACGTTGTGACAGCGTGGGGAACGTAGTCGGAGTCTGCGGCAGTGTAGGTGTGGACTGTAGTTCCAGGAGAGTCACTCTCAGATACAGACACTGCAGGGAATGGTGTTGCAAAGGTGGGCGTGGCTTCATTTACAGCACCGACACTTACGTAAACAGTGACAGTCCTGGAGTTGGTCCCGTCACTGACTTGTATCTGCAGGGTGTAAGATGTTGTGGCAGAATCGTAGTCCACAGCTGAAAAAACATACCACAATTTACACCAACAGGCTGTACAAACGTCATACATGTTACGTTATATCCTAGACATACCCCTATAGAACAAAGTGCGTTGTCAGTGGATACATATGGTTTATGGAGGTAATGGTCGTACACTGAAACAGGATTAGGCATTTAGTTGCGTTTGCTGCACCCTCCCCAGTCAACAGCAGTCCGATTGCATTTCACAGGGACCAGCCATCTGCATTGGAGCTTGTTCAGATCCGCGCATCACCCCTAAACAGTGCCTTAAGAGTTGACGTTGCGGTTGTACAGCGGTTACGCAAATGTAATTTGATCGTCCTAGGCATGTGACGTCAAACATGGTCGTCCTCACCTGGGGTGATCAGATTTCGCACCTGTTTCAAGGCACACGTGTGAATTGTCAGTGTATTACATCTCATCACCCGTGCAACAGCCATAGTAGAAGCATGCCTCCCTAAAGCATCTTTCAAGGATTGTTAATGTGTTTTTCTAATCACCAGATTTGAACATTTGCACACGTGTTAGTGGCAAGGCAAATGAAATTTTGTTCACCTGACCTGAATTTGTTCACCCGGTCGCGTGTTCACGAAAGAGCGTGCTGCATGCACCCCGCGTGGTTCACCACAGTTGAAATAGGCGGATACCTCAGGCTAGGCCTGAGTATTGTGTTACTCACCCATATTAACTACTTTGTACAACCAATTTTCATAATAATTCGTTTCTCCAAGTGTGAAGTTTCGATTTTTATTTAATAAAGTAACAACACAAAAGGCTGCTCTTTTACACATCTTGAACATCTACCTATACAAGGCCCCACTGAAGTTATATGTTTAAGAAAGAACCACCGACAATACAATGTCATCTTACTTGCAGCCAGCGTTATAGTACCACTGGCAGCATTGAGAGCGAATTTTCCGTCACCGTTCCCTGATGTGATTGTATACGATAGGACGTCACTCGCATCTGCATCTGTACACGTCAGTGTGGACACCTACAACCAGTGGACACATTACAACACAACACACTATGTTGACAATGGAGCCTTGTTACATCATATAGCTTGCAATGGTAGGCATAGTAAGTGGATTGCTGATTCTGTCTTGTCCAGAAACAAAGTTTTCTTTGTGAAAATTGTGGAGCGGGTGCTCCGGTAGATCAGGACATGCAAGGACCTTTTGCTGACATGTGGTGTCATCAATGTCTTCACAATTTGCCTAGTACATCGCATGTCATCTGTTTCGAGATGTAAGGTTTTAGTACTTGACAGGAACTCTTCAGGATACCTGTTCAAGGGTCTTCTAGTTTGTTTGGATGTTTCCTTGCAGCACATTCGTCAGTATGACTACCACTACGAAGAATGTAGTCATACTCGTCCTTTTGAGGGAAACAAACTCACAAATGTGATGACAAAGACAGTTTTACGAAAGCCACACTGGCGAAACATTACCAATATTGATAATATAAATTGCACATGTTTCATTCCAAAACATTACTTGCAAAGATGTACTATGAGTGCCATTATTAGTTCCTAATCACCCAATGGACATGTTGCATAATAATCAGGTGCAAATCTACAATGATACAAAGCTCAAACATACATACCGCATCATTGACACTGCTGCTCTCAAGCACAGTCACGTAAACCGCATATGAAGCACAGGAAGGCAAGTTGTCGTTGATGTTGGTAACTGTGACTGTCACTGTTGTTATTGCCGACCTCACAGTGCCTCCGCCATCACTAGCAGTCACTTGAAGCGTGTAGGAAGGGGGTCGTCTCAAAATCCAAAGGTTTCTGTAGTGTGATGATACCAAATGTCGGATCGATGCTGAAGTCAGTGTTGGTATTGCCATCTGTAATACAGGTGGTTTGAAATAATTAAAGTCACAGGTATAAAATGAAAAAAATGTAACCGATGTCAACAAAATGCCTGGTGTCACGCCATTATTCCAGAAAGGACGGCGATGATACAGATACTTGAAACGATAGTATATTTCCTTACTTGTAATAGAATATGTAATCTGTCCGTCGATGCCAGCATCAAGATCTGTGGCGGCCACAGTATCAATTACTGTCCCTACTGCGGTGTTCTCTGCAAACTGAAACAACAGTCAATTAACAAGCTAACACGGCAAAATAGCAGATGAAGAGGATAATTATGAAGTGGCAATATATAGACTACTGGGTCACATTTTAAAATACCACCACGTACCGAGACAGTTGATGGGAAGCCAGCAGCAAATGCAGGATCGTGGTCATTGACTGCCACAACGGATACCGTCACAGACGTCGTTCCAGTCAGCTCCGGTGTTCCACCATCGGTCACAATGATCCTGAGGACATAGTAGTCAGGGTCATTGGCTGGACTGTCAAGGTTGATTGCAGTTATCAGTTCAAGACCAGATGCACCGAACTGGAATCTAGTAGTGTCCCCAAACTCTATCGCATATGCCAAGGTTGACGTTGCATCAGCATCTGTTGCCGCTACTGCTACTATTGTTGCACCTGCTGTCGTTGCAGTTTCCAGAGGAGAGTTGGAATATGGGGCTGATGTAAAGACGGGCCCATTGTCGTTGTAATCTGCTACTGAGATTGTGAATGTTCGGTCTACTGTCTTAGCAGGAGTTCCTCCATCAGATGCTCGAACTGTCACATCGTAAGATGCAACCGATTCACGGTCGAGGGACGCAGTTGTTGAGATTTTCCCTGACACGGAATCCAAGTGGAAAATCCCGCTTACAGTGCCTACACCAGCTGCAGATATAAACATAATAATACCTTGTCATCAGAATAAAAGATCTTTTAATTTCTGTCATCATGAAAGTAAGTTTGAAAGAGAGGATGATTTAATCAACACATATGAAATTGACATAATTGTATATCCTTGAAAAATAATGCATAATACAAATAATACGTAATACAAATGGACCGCCGCTATATAGCTGGAATATTGCTGAGTGCGGCGTAAAACTCAACTCACCCACTCACTCATAATACAAATGCCGAATGAGGAAGGTGTGGTGTTGTCAAAAGACACAATTTCTCATTCGTGCATCGCATGGTTGATTCACGCAAAGAAGGTTATATTAAGTAAATACCTGTTTGTACGTTTTACGATATTGCCGACATCCCCCTTTAAAGGCTACTGGGACAATACACTATATGTCAAACATAAACAAGAAATGATGGATGGAAATGAAGTAAAGGATATGAGACTCAATTGCAAACAGTTTCCCCCACCTCCAGTTGTTGTCACCAGTGTGTACGTGATTGTGCCATCATTCCCAGCATCTGAATCTGTTGCTGCTATGGTAACAACAGATGTACCGACGTTGGCATTCTCTGACACGGGATACGGTGTTCCTGATACGAACGCAGGCACGAACGTTCCCCATGCCGGTGTGCCTTCATTCTCTGGTAGAACCTGTTGGATGGGATCAGCAATGTCATATTACATATAACTGTACAGAATAGGAACCGTGTGTATAGAATACTATCGCCTTACATATTTCAAGCGGGGGTAACAACTTAGTAATTTCATCCCGAACTTCTCAAAATAGCAAATGACCGCCAATCGTGAAAAACACTCAATGTGAACTTTCCAAACACATGGAACTGAGAGAACAAATTAATTTATAGAGTTAAAAGTTCGTTTGATTTTTTTACGCAGCACTCAGCAATTGTCCCGCTATATAGCGGTGGTCTGTAAAGAATTGGGTCTTCTAGATCGAAGTTCTTGAAAGGCATTTAGAAGTTGAAGAACATGGATACGTGACCCGTTTTTATGGATAACAACTTCTTTTTATTCTTTTATGCTACGTATAAAAATCCACTGATTGACGTCATGAGTATTGATCTAAGCAACTGGGGTACGATGACATGGATCAAGCAAGTCTGGCAAGCCTGACCACCCAATCCCGTTACTCGCATCACGAGACAAGCATGGGTGACCCAAGACCAATTCTAACCCGGATCTTCACGGGTTCATGACTTAATTAAATGTTCTTTCAAACATTGGTGGCTAGCTAGCAATTAGAACTGATGTTCAACCAGTAATTGAGACAGTAGCCGCTGTATTAACTATGATAATTTATTTATGTTATTATTGATTAAACACGTTCACATGTTTCCATTATATTTCTTACAGAAACAACAACTGTAGCTGTGGCTACGTTCGGCGTTGCTCCACCATCGGCAATGTTGACGACAAGGGTGTATGACGTCGTCGTTTCGAAGTCCGTCACTGTTGCCGTCGTCAGAATGTTCATGGCAGTGACCTTGAACTTCTGGGTGGCATCATCTCCACTGACGATGGTCACTGTCATATCACTGTTCGGGGAGGCGTCGTCGTCGGTACACGTTAAAGCAACGACGGTAGTGTCTGTAACAACAGGAATACACTTGATATCTCAACAAATACATTCAGAAGTAATTAGTCAACGTCTTCTATGCGTTCTATGAGCAAATAATAGATTAAACCGGATGGTTCATATGAAACATTAAAGAACTATACCAATAAGGTGAAATCGACAAGGAGCGCTCAGTATGAGAGAAAATCCTTCGTAGGGTTTTCGCTTTATTGCGCTGTTTACATTATGGCCTATAAATTTCACCAGCCATAGTATCACAGGCTTAGTGTGTATCGGTAACGGATCTAATTTCGGGACCTCTATGATGATTAAGTGAAGAAATACAGTCCCATTGGCAGTTTTGTAACCATATCGTAACTAAAATAAATCATACATCGAAAGCAAACGTGTCTACAAAAGAGAATAAAACATTTATAATATTTCAGTTATAGATTTAAAACAAGCATGTAACCAGGGACCAAGGAGAACTTTTACTGCCTACATGGAACCCAGCTAGATTTACACCAGGCCATCGATAATGAATTTGACTTGCACAACGTGGACATAATGGACGACAAGTAACTACAACCAGGCACTTCTTCACAACTTTTTGACCGCCTCCGTGGTGTAGTGGTTAGAGCCTCTGCCCGGAGAGCGGAAGGTCGCGGGTTCGATCCCCGACCGCGTCATACCAAAAGACGTAAAAATATGGTACTTGTTGGTCCCTGCCTGGCGCTCGGCATTAATGGGTACAACAAGGACTGGTCGGCTCGGAGTCGGTATAATGTGTCTGAGTGGGGTATTCATGCTTCACTGCGGCATGGTATGTCAGTGAGCTAGCACTTTAAAACCAGCTTAAGTCTGGGCTAGTACAAGCAGCCGCACATACACATACACACGCATGCACGTCGTCATATGGGCGAATTATTCTCAAGCACGACGTTAAATCCAATTTCACCTCACCTCACCTCACCTCACCTCACCTCACAACTTGTGGGTCCGAACCTGCCATGATGCCAGTAACGAACGATTCCAGAACATACCGTAAGCAATGACTTGAGTTTTAAGTACGTTCATAGCCGGCAACCATGATGTTAATCAGCGATACACTTCATGGACTACACAACGTCCTTGTCAGGACCAGCTCAACCAGGCCGGTTACTCAACTATTATGTCGATACAATGTTTCATGATTTGATGTAAAATGCCGCATTTTATGGTACATATTGAAGGGATTCCGGAGTGGCTACTCACTGACTGGAGGGGTCTCTAAAACTTCTGCGAAGATTTATCGGGTCTGGACTAGACCATCCAGTGATCAACATCATTGAGCGTATATCTACGCAGTTGGGATACGGTGACATGCATCAAACAAGTCAGGGAGTCGGACCACCCAGATGGCACTTTTTGACTCATACGAGAAAAGCAGGGGCCTTATTCTCGAAACGTTCGTAGCCCTAAGAATACTTAACTTTGATCGTAGCCAATGTGTTAAGAATAGGCTTAAGATGGCTACGAACGTTTCGAGAATAGCTAGCCAAATGTTGCTGAACACCTGTTCTTGAAGACACGGGTCAGACTTTAAAGTGAAATGTCATACTCACCGACGGGAGAGTTCTCTGTAACATCGGCGAAGAATGCAGACGGTGTGCATGTGGGGGTGTTATCGTTGATGTCATTCAACGTCACACTCAATGTCCCGGTAGTGGGCTGACCAGCACTGTCGGTCACCGTCAAGGTCAGCTGGTCAAAAACTTTGATTGCACCCGAAGCATCTCTGTCCAGTTTCTGCGAAGTCTTTATAGTTCCAGTGTTGCTCTCGATAGTGAAGTAGGTCGCGTGGACTCCTACAGCATTTATGTATGTCATACAATAAGTTCATCCTAGGATAACGTACATGTGCAAAAATACATTGTACTGTCAATCGATTGATACATTTAGGGATTGAAGTTAGAATATCTTAATATTTGCCTCACATTAACGTTTAATTTAAACTGATTGTATACTCATGCCAATAATGGTTGTCACCCCCTTCAATTTTTTTAATTGGAGAGTGGGTGTGGGGTGGGGGTGTGGGGTGTGTGTTTGAGGTGTGTGCGGGGTTGGGGTGGGAAGGGGGGTGACAACCATTATTGGCATGGGTATATTACATATCACTAATTGTTTATGACACGGGTAAGAATTTATGATCAACAACCCGTGCTTGTCGTAAGAAACGATAAACGAAAGCGATTGGTAAGGTTGATTCATGTCATCGCATCCCATGTCTGTTCATGATATCAATCACTAGACTGACTTGATAATTTACAGCCTGCCTCGATATAGCTGGACTATAACTGAGGAAGTCGTTCAACGCTAAATAAACAGAACAAAATATATATGCATCTACTTAGATGTAGTATTGATTTTTGTTGTTATTGCTGTCTTCACAAAGGACCAGGCAATCCACTCACTGACAACATAAGCTGCCATTATCGCCTTTGCTGGCCGGCAAGTCAACGAACCTGACCACCTGATACACTAAGTCACCTTTTGTGACAAGCACTGGAATTCCCAGTGAGTTAACGATCTTCAAGATCATAAGATCATGTAAACATATGCATATGTGCTTGAGGAAGCTTATCGGGGAACGAGTCAAAAATTAGAAAGAAATACACACACATTTTACTATTCAAATAATTGTTGAATGTTTGTTGTTTAAAGCCACACTTAGAAATATTCCAGCTATATGGCGGCGGGCTGTACATAATCGAGTCTGGACCAGACAATCCAGTGATCAACAGCATGAGCATCGAACCACGCAGCTAGGATACGATGACACGTGGCATCCACGTCAACGAGCCTGACGAATAGATCATGTTAGTCGCTTCTTTCGACAAGTATGGGTTGACCGATCATATCTAACTAAGTATAACATTATGGTTTAACATGTTGACATCGGTATGTACGTATGCGTGCATGTGTGCGTGCGTGCGTGTGTGGTTTGTACCCCGCTGTTATTTTCAGCACATCATTGTGGTGATAGGCGTGACAAGCCAACACTTTAGCCGCTGGACTATTCCCCATCCCCACAAGTCAGGAGTTAGATCACAACCTGTCAGTTGGTAGGACAGAGTGTCTCCGGCGTCGTTATCTGTTACAGTATATGTGAAGGGCACGACAGTTCCAACGTTTTGTTTCTCGTCTATGGCGATGACCGTGGCTCCGCTAATCACTGGCAAGTTGTCGTTGAGGTCGGTAACGTCCACGTTCACGGCTCCTGTTGTTGTCGAGGTTCCATCACTTACTCTGAAGTACGGAAGTCTTTGAATGGATGCAACGCACTAATAGTAAAACATACACAATCATGCAACTGCCTAAATGGCGTTCTGTCATATAATATTATACGTATATAAATGAAGTGACAGATACATATGGTCAGGCCCTAATACCAGTAAGACCAGAAATGGGCTTTACACATTGTACCCATGTTGGGAATCAAACCCAGTCTTCGGCTTGAAGGTCCGGGCTAGAATTGTTCTTGAGTAACCCATGCTTGTCGTAAGAGGTGACTAACGAGATCAGGTGGTCAGGCTCGCTGACTTGGTTGACACATGCCATCGCATCCCAGTTGTGTGGATCGATGCTCATGCTGTTTATCACTGGATTGTCTAGACTAGACTCGATTATTTACAGACCGCCGCAATATAGCTAGAATATTGTTGAGTGCGGAGTAAAACCAAACTCACTCACTCAGTCTTCGGCTTGAAGAGCGAACGTTTAACCACTAGGCAAACCCACCGTCCCTGTCTCCATTGGTTGACTAAACTATCCTCAAGTATTTTCTGTTAAAGAGTGTGTACACATTTTAAAAGCATGTATATTGTCTAAGACTGCAATTACACATGTAAAAAAGCCCAACTGAACTTACGTCACAGTCAGTAGATAAAAGGTTGTTGTTTCATAATCCAAGGCCCCGCCTACTTGCAGCTGTTGACCCACAAGTGTAAAGGGCACTGACGTAGTGGTCAGTGTAAAGGTCAGGGCGTCTGCTTCCGGGTCAGTTGCTAGGATACCGAACACTGAGGCCCCTGTTCCGGTGTTTTCAGCAATACTGACGCGAGTACTGCCATCAGTTGCTATGTTGTCAAATGTTGTGGCGGCGCCTGTGTTGGAAAATATAAGAATGTTACATATGTTACACAAAGGTGAGCTGAGCCCTAACTTACCCCCCTTAAAACATGTGTACCATAACACGTTCTCTCACGTATCTAATGAACTATAATCATCTCTTTTTCATATCGACGATATGAAAATAACTGGTGACAGCCTGTCTACTGAATCTTCATTTCAGCTGATTCTTTCAATATCCCAATAGTAGTGGCAGTAGTGAGTGAATGAGTGAGTGAGTTTGGCTTTACGCCGCTTTTAGCAATATTCCAGCAATATCACGGCGGGGGACACCAGAAATGAGCTTCACACATTGTACCCATGTGCGGAATCGAACCCGGGTCTTCGGCGTGACAAGCGAACGCTTTAACCACCAGGCTACCCCACCGCCCCAGTGGCAGTAGTAGTCGTAGTAATAGTAGTAGTAGAAGGAGCAGCAGCAGCAGTAGTAATAGTAGCAGCAGCAGCAGTAGTCGTAGTAGTAGTAGTAGTAGTAGTAGTAGCAGCAGCAGCAGCAGCAGCAGCAGTAGTAGTAGTAGTAGTAGTAGTCACATCGGCAATATTTCAGCCATATCGTGACGAGAAGGAGCAGCAGCAGCAGTAGTAATAGTAGCAGCAGCAGCAGTAGTCGTAGTAGTAGTAGTAGTAGTAGTAGTAGCAGCAGCAGCAGTAGTAGTAGTAGTAGCAGTAGTAGTGAGTGAGTGAGTGACGAGAAGGAGCAGCAGCAGCAGTAGTAATAGTAGCAGCAGCAGCAGTAGTCGTAGTAGTAGTAGTAGTAGTAGCAGCAGCAGCAGTAGTAGTAGTAGTAGCAGTAGTAGTGAGTGAGTGAGTGAGTTATTATTTAACGTCACATCAGCAATATTTCAGCCATATCGTGACGAGAAGAAGCAGCAGCAGCAGTAGTAATAGTAGCAGCAGCAGCAGTAGTCGTAGTAGTAGTAGTAGTAGTAGTAGTAGTAGTAGTAGTAGTAGTAGCAGCAGCAGCAGCAGCAGTAGTAGTAGTAGTAGTAGTGGTGGTGGTGGAATTGGGTTTAACGTCGTGCTTGAGAATATTTCGCTCATATGACGACGTGCATGCGTGTGTATGTGTATGTGCGGCTGCTTGTACTAGCCCAGACTGAAGCTGGTTTTAAAGTGCTAGCCCACTGAGATACCACGCCGCAGCGAAGCATGAATACCCCACTCAGACACATTATACTGTCTGTAGTAGTAGTAGTAGCAGCAGCAGCAGCAGCAGCAGCAGTAGTAGTAGTAGTCACATCGGCAATATTTCAGCCATATCGTGACGAGAAGGAGCAGCAGCAGCAGTAGTAATAGTAGCAGCAGCAGCAGTAGTCGTAGTAGTAGTAGTAGTAGTAGCAGCAGCAGCAGCAGTAGTAGTAGTAGTAGCAGTTGTAGTAGTGAGTGAGTGACGAGAAGGAGCAGCAGCAGCAGTAGTAATAGTAGCAGCAGCAGCAGTAGTCGTAGTAGTAGTAGTAGTAGTAGTAGCAGCAGCAGCAGTAGTAGTAGTAGTAGTAGCAGTAGTAGTGAGTGAGTGAGTGAGTTATTATTTAACGTCACATCGGCAATATTTCAGCCATATCGTGACGAGAAGGAGCAGCAGCAGCAGTAGTAATAGTAGCAGCAGCAGCAGTAGTCGTAGTAGTAGTAGTAGTAGTAGTAGTAGTAGTCGTAGTAGTAGTAGTAGTAGTAGTAGTAGTAGCAGCAGCAGCAGCAGCAGTAGTAGTAGTAGTAGTAGTGGTGGTGGTGGAATTGGGTTTAACGTCGTGCTTGAGAATATTTCGCTCATATGACGACGTGCATGCGTGTGTATGTGTATGTGCGGCTGCTTGTACTAGCCCAGACTGAAGCTGGTTTTAAAGTGCTAGCCCACTGAGATACCACGCCGCAGCGAAGCATGAATACCCAACTCAGACACATTATACTGTCTCCGAGCCGACCTGTCCTTGTTGTACCCATTAATGCCGAGCGCCAGGCAGGGACCAACAAGTACCATATTTTAACGTCTTTTGGTATGACGCGGTCGGGTAGTAGTAGTAGTAGTTGTAGCAGCAGTAGTAGTAGCAGCAGCAGCAGTAGTAGTAGTAGTAGCAGTAGTAGTGAGTGAGTGAGTGAGTTATTATTTAACGTCACATCGGCAATATTTCAGCCATATCGTGACGAGAACATTTGACATTGTAATAGAATATATATATAGTTATTATAAAAACCTGCCGACGAAGGACAGTAAAAATACTAGACAATCACAGATATCAATATAAAACTAGCGAACAAAGCTAAAATATTCCAATTAAAGAAGACAATACAATGTAAAAATGGGCTATAGATCGCCAACAACTGAAGGTAGATCACCATACTAGGAACCATGGGGACTTACATTACTTTTGCTACCTGCACCGACCCTAGTTGGATTTACACCATCCCTTCAGCCATTGGCGACAGAAGAGAAATCTAGCCATAAATTAAAAACACACTTATTCTACGATTAAAAAGCAGGTACACTTAGATTGACTAAATGTTTTGGGACTTACGTACCCTCTCAGGAGGACAATAATTTTACAATACTTCAACCCCCTTTGAGGATACAGCCACTAACAATCTCAGTTGCTAATCTAAACTACCAATAATAAAATATATATCTATTTACAAATCACTCAACAAATCTAATTTTTTTAAAAATGCAAGAATTAAATGAGAACTGACATTATTAAAAAGATCCTTCAGAGTTTTGGATTTGAAATAGATATCCCTTGTGATGGAATATTCAATACAGTCAAGCAAGACATGCTTGACTGTGATCCTTTCATCACAAGGGATACAAAACGGAGGATCTTCGCCTTTCAATAAATATTCATGAGTATATCTGGTGTGGCCAATGCGACATCGTCGCATAATGACCTCTTCAAATCTGGACTGACAACCCAAGTAAGTGTAACCAATGTACGGTTTTATTGCATGTAATTTATTAATACCTACTTGGGTGTCCCACTTCTTTTGCATTAGATCGCGGATGTATGTTCTAATGCTGGCTTTATAATCTGAATATGGGATAAGAAGTGGTGTCACTGATTTGTTGAGGGCTGCCTTAGCAGCAATATCAGCCATCGTGTTCCCAGAAATGCCAACGTGGCTGGGTAACCAACAAAAGACGATGTCGCATTGGCCAGTAGCAAGTTCATTGTACAATTCAAGAATTTCTAATAAAAGTGGATGTTTGCAAGAAAGATTTTTAATAGCCTGAAGACACGAAAGAGAATCTAAAAAGATGATATATTGTTTATATCTACGGTTTTTATTAATATATTTAAGAGCTGTTAATATGGCGTTTGCTTCTGCTGTGAATATAGAGCTGTTATTTGGTAGTCGAGAAGATATTGTTCGGGATCCTATGACAGTGGCACATGCCCCCGCGCCACCATCCTTGGACCCATCTGTAAATAAGGATTTATGAGTATTATATTTATTTTTTAATTGATTATATTCTTGTTTATATTGTAATTCATTAGTTACAGATTTCTTAAACTTTGTCAGAGTTAGGTCAACTTCAGGCCTCACTAGTTGCCAAGGAGGAGAAGAAAGAAGACGGGAAGGAGATATATTTTCCAGCTAAATGCCGGCAGCAGAAATGAAGGGCTTAATTCTGTGCCCAAGAGGCGGAACAAGAGACGTTTTTTTGTTGTATAAATCCTCGTAGAGGGGATTAAAGACACAGTTAAATGCAGGGTTAGACTCGCTAGAATATAGTTTAGTTATGTATTGTAAAGATAATTTGATACGACGTTGTGTTAGAGAGGGCTCATCTGCTTCAACATATAGACTGTCAATAGGAGAGGTTCTAAAGGACCCAAGACAAAGTCTTAGGCCTTGGTGGTGGACAGAATCAAGTAGTTTTAGGTTGCTTTTGCAGGCTCCACCATATACGATGGAGCCATAATCAAGTTTCGAGCGGACCAATGATCGATATAGGTGGAGGAGGGTAGCTTGATCCCCTCCCCACTTAGAATTGGAAACAACTTTCAACAAGTCAAGTGCCTTCAGGCATTTAGTTTTAAGTGCTTTAATATGTGGTAGAAACGTTAAGTGTGAGTCAAAAATAATACCCAAGAACTTGGCCTCCTTCACAACTTTGATAGGAGTGCCATTTAGAGATAGTTCCGGGTCTTTATGAGGCTTATATTTTCTACAAAAGTGTAGACAATTAGTTTTTGACTTGGAAAATTTAAAACCGTTTTCAAGACACCATTTATGTATCTTATTTAAACACAGCTGCAGTTGCCGTTCAATAGTATGCATATTCTTACCACGACAAGAAATATTAAAATCATCCACAAAAAGTGATCCATCAATAGAATCATTTAAAACCTTGGATAAACTGTTAATTTTGATGCTAAAAAGTGTGACAGACAAAATACTGCCTTGTGGGACACCCTGATTATAATGGTCAGACAGGGTAGAACCAACTCGGACTTGAAATTGCCTGTCAGCTAAAAACTTGGATATAAATTGAGGCAAACGGCCTCTCAATCCAAAATCGTGTAAATCTCTTAAAATACCATGTTTCCATGTAGTGTCATATGCTTTTTCTAAATCAAAAAAGATTGACACTGCATGTTGTTTATTAATTATGGCATTTTTTACAAAAGAGTCTAAACGCACTAAATGATCGATGGTACTACGGTTTTTACGGAAACCACATTGTATATCAGTTATAAGGTTATTGGTTTCCAAGTACCAAACAAGTCGATTGTTGAACATGCGTTCCATGGTTTTGCAAACGCAGCTAGTGAGTGAAATTGGTCTATAATTTGAGGGATCTGTATGATCCCGTCCAGGTTTAGGTATGGGAACAATAATAGCATCCCGCCACGACGAAGGAAAATTTCCAGATGTCCAAATGTCGTCAAAAATGTGTAAGAGCGTCTCTAAACATGATTCAGGTAAGTGCTTCAGGAGTTGATAATGTATGTTATCAGCCCCTGAAGCAGTATCATGAGCC